GTCTTCTCCAAGCCGAGTGAAAGAAAATACCACTAGCTGCCATACAAAGACTTGTGGAAAGTATGCCCTGGAGGGTTCACGCTGTAATTACCTCTCGTGGAGGATCTACCAACTATTGATTTTGAATAAAGTTAGTTTTTCTTTTCTATCACAGGTGTCCAAATACTTATTGGTAGTCAGTGTAGTACATATGTTACCGTGAAAGACCGAAATTGGAGAATGTCGACTTTCACCGGAGAATGTCAACATTCACCAAATACGTCGGTGAAAGATCAAATATTTCTTTACATTCTTGTACATTCGGACCCTCACCGGTGTATGTCGATAATCGTAGATATGCTCTGGTGTAGGTCGAAAAGAGAGGAGTATATGTACACGCTGCCATTCCAAAAGGAAGTGCTCACAAATAAATGCAGTTGAAAAGCAAGGGCCTCTTGTGCAATTTAAAGTGTCATAATAGTTTAAGTTGTTGCAATAAATAAGATTTGAATCACATAATTTGGTAAGTTTATCACTTCTATTATTTTCCTTTCTCATTTTGAATGCACTGTGTGTTTTAAGTTCTTATGTTCTTAAGTTCTTATTCTGAGTCTCAAGTGCGTTTTTTCGCGAATGAATTACGGAGAAGGAAATATAATATTCTTATATGTTCAGCATTCACCATTAGTACATGGTGAATGTCGACATTCACCGGTGTAAGTCAGAAATAAGAGTATTTGGAAAATATTTCGGACATACACCAAGCGACTATGTGAATGTTGACATTCACCGGTGAAAGTCGACATTCTCCAGATTTCGGAGTTTCACCGTAACATATATATATACAACGTAGTATATATATATATATATATATACTACGTTGTTCAATAAGCAATTAGTATAAAAAGGAATATTTAAAATAATTAAAGATTATCCTACCTGAGGAAGATTTTGTAGGGCAGTAAAATGGGCGCATGTTACTTGGAAGTGAAAAAAATTAAAGCCGGACCACAAGCGCAGGTACGTCAGATAGTTTACGTTATAAAGGGAAAAATGAATATATTGTGCACACCTAAGCGATTTGGCCTTGTCGAGGTGTTAGAAACTATTAATTCAGATTTAATTTTACTCATTAAATTTAAATTTAGTTTTATTGACACCAGGCATTCATTAAAAAATCACAATTATTGCAATTTCAGTGGTATTCGGATCACCAATAATAACTTCATGCTAGCCAGTAATGTTGTTTTACAAGTATACTTTTATGAACTTTTGAAATATTTATTTTTATTTCTTAATTTTCAGGAAAATGTTTAACATTCCATGTTTAATGCTTTTCAGTGTTAATTTTTAAAATAATCCTCCCCTTTATAAATTTGCTTTACTTTAAAAAGAATTTGGAAAAGTTAAAAACTAATTGAATGTTTATTCAAATCAATATATTTAAATATACTGAGAAAATCAATCTCAAAACTGAAGAGTTTTACTTATGTATTTCGTTTATTTTATTTATGTCAGCTGAATAAAGATGAGTACAGAACAAAGTCTTTAATCCGGACTCGTCAGGACTTCGGCGACTCCGGATTAGGGTTTTTTCTGGATTATAGATCTTCAATTTAAATCTGGTAAGATGGCATGCAGAAATTATAAAATTAAAAACATGAAAGAGCAATTATGATGTAAAGGGTATCACAATTTACAAAAAAAAAAAAAAAAAAAAAAAAAAAAAAAAAAATTAATATTTATTTGTTTACTTTATTAAACATTTCTTTCAATGTAAGTTGTTTAAGTTGCTTCATTTTATGTGCTAATACTTTCTCTTTAATTCTATAACCAGACATAATTGCTTGCTTGTTCAGTTACAAAGTTCCGCTGTTAAAGTCCTGTAATTGCTGTGCCGAGAATACCGATTAACTTGTCAACAGAAATTTTTTCGTTTTCACTAACCTCTCTGTCACTTTCTTCATGCCTTTATCCATTTCTTACAGCAATTCCACTTTTTATTTGATGGACATCGAAGCACGCTTTCGCTTTGTAGATCCTTTGGCAGCTCCAGAATCGGAAACTCTTTTTGACATAATCGAAAGTTCAAGCCCTCTTTTTATAAAATTGCTCTAGCAGTCTGCAAAAAATAATAAGCCGGATCCAATTAGAAGATTAAGGAACAACGCAATCTGCAACATTAACTGAAATAGATAATTAGATAATTTTGCCTAGCTTATACCGTCCTTTATACATTAAACGTGCATGCGTAAACGTATTATGCGTATGCGTAAAGTTTGTAGCTTTGAGGTCCGGATTATAGATCATTCCGGATTATGGATGTCCGGGTTAAAGACTTTGTACTGTATACATTTTTAAAAATTGGATTGCTAAATTTACTTTGCATCGAAAGAATATTTCAAAATTTGCTTATTTAATAACTTTTGATGCTAAGCAAAAGCTTATTTTTTAATTTTTCTTCTCATTATTCTTATGTGAAGGATTCATGAAATTCGAGATTCGGAGGATTTGGTAAACTTAGGATTAGAATTCAAGAAATTTTAGGATTCGTTTCCACACTACATGTATATTATTGAATAAAGATTATAGAGGTTTACCATTTCAAGACTGTCTTACTTAAGTTGATTGATGCACGATATGTCTTAGAAGTTATAAATATAATCCAAAACTGTAACACTGTATATAAAATTTAAGAAAAGATACATGTGTTTATTAGGAACATACATGCATTTAAATTTGAAGATTGTCTAACAGTGAAAACGCCTTAAATCTGTTCATCTGACCATCAAGTAGAAAATCATTTTGCTCGTAAAGGAAACACACGAACGTGTTGTACTTGATAATGCATATAGGAGGTATAATCAAAATAAAGTTCCAAGTGCTTGAAGAAACTTAGGTGGCTGAAAGTAAGCAGAAACATGTAGAGACATTAGGTTATCTCGAAGCAGGAGACAGGAAAAATGTGCAATGCCCTTATCGGAACTCGAACCTGGATCTTTCTAATTCGCGCCGAGTGTGCTACCGTTATACCACGATGGCACGAAGGCAGGAGAAATACCTTATAAACGTTCCTATGAACAATGACAGGAAACGCGTAATTACGAGTTATAGGAGACTGAAGCTCAAGTTAAGGTGATACGAAAGGTTACGTACCTCCGGGAAAACCTTATTACTGAATATCCTATGACGAGCTCAGTTTTCTTTTAAACACGTGTTTCATATTTTTCATGAATTTCGGCACCTGAGGCAGTCAGGACAGTGTCCTTCGACCACATAATGAAGACACTGCAATACCCGTAAGGAGAAGGTTTATAGCCTTCGCATCAGTTTGTCAATGATGTTTAGTGTTTTGCAACTCTTAAACTATACTTTTTTTGCTATGTTTTTAATAAGACATTTTTGCTCATCTTCTACTTCAGAAAGCAATGCCCACATACGGCGATGATATTTTGTGATGCTATGCACATTAAATCATTCTTTCTATCCACTTATTACTTCTGTTCAACATCTTATAACTTTCAAATTTCGGAGCACTTTTTGCTTATCGCCTCATTATACAAAGACAATGCAATCTGATTATACAGGGACGCCGTGTATAATGAGATTCAGGCCGGCTAGCTATGATCTCAAGCATACTAAGAAAGTAAATATTATGTTAAGAAACTTTTTTAAAGAAAGATTTTTACGAGAGAGTGCTCAAATTTAAATATTGTAGTTTAAAATTAGATGAAAAAGCAACCTTAGATTAGAATAGATTTTAAATAAAACTCCATCAGTTTCGAGAGCAATCTGAGACAGGTCTAACATATTTTTTTCTAATTTTTCATGATGTTGCTTTCGCTCTAAAAAAATAGGCATCTATCTCTGATCTTTGCTATAGATAGAATTTTATTCAAAATCTATGTCAATCAAAGGCTGCTTTTTTTAATTTTGGCTGCTTTAAAATTTTCATTGGCATGTTTCTCATATAAATAGGTAATTATTATAGTATTAGTAAATTTTATATTTTCCGCATTTAATAGCAGTAATTTTTAATGCACGTAAAAAATTTCTATTACTACATCTTTTTATTATACAGAATGTTTAAAAAAATTACATGGCTGAATATTTTTGGCTTAACTGTAGAAACATAGTCTAGTTTAAAAATGGAATAAATAAGCTAAGCTAGGAAAATTTTTACTACGCGACACCTTTTAATAAAAGAAGTGAGAAAAATGTTTTCCACGAACAAAGTATTTTTCACCACCCTCCAAAAAATTTCTCGTGTGCTCTAAATTACTCAAGACATCCATAATCAGGATTTGCAAGGGGGGAGGGGGGTGCGGTTCTTTAGAAACATTCCTATAGATAATATATGCATTTTAAGTTTTCAAATGTAACATTCAGAAAGTTATCTTCCAAGTCGGGAAAGTATTAATGCGTAAGTTTGGTTTAAATTTCCTTTTTAGGATAGGCTAAAACTGTGATAATCTCTATCTACTGTAATTCTATTTTATATAACTTCGAACGAAAGTAGTTTAAATTTTATAAAAGCAAACTAAATTGTTTTTTTAATTTTTAAATTTTTAGCTAAAAACTTTTAGCAGGAAAAAAAACAACTTACTCATTGTGCAATATCTGCATAACTAATTACGCCGTCTTTCTAGAAAGCCGATTATCCAAATTTAAAATTTGTATATTTTTAATGAAAAGTAATTGTAACAAAAAATCTACCTTATTTTATTCCATTCTATAATCAGTCAGGGGTACAGTAAACCATTCAAGAAATATTTAGCCATGTAAGCAATTTTTTGAAAAACTTTTATACTTTATCTTATCACATGGCATTTAACCATATAGTATGTAAATATTTAACATATGCTGCTTCTGATGAGAAGAAAGAAGCATAACTATTAAATTATATGTGTGTTAAATATATACTTCTACTCGTATATTAAATACGTATATACTTCTACTGCTGAAAATAAATACTGCACATCAAATTCTAGGATCACTTTAATTATTTGATAATTTTTCAGATTATCCATGCGGCTCCCATGAATTTCAGTGTAATAATTTCAAATGCATTTCTGAAAAATTGACATGTGATGGACACAATCATTGTGGTGACAGCAGTGATCAGTTCGACTGTAGTAAGTAAATTTTATGAAACCTTGACATAGAATTTAAAGTTTTAATACTACAAATTAGATTTACATTTTACCAGGTAGTTACATGAGAAATTTTTAATAATTTTTTTAAACTTTAGACTAACTTTCAGTAGATTTATAAAGAGTAAGCAGTAAAATAAACAGACCAAATGTTATGAATGAGAGATATATATTGCAGACAAATAACACATGTTGCCACTGGAAATTTTCTAGGCTCGTATTTGCAACTACAAGGAAAGTGTGCTGAATATCTGCGAGTGATTCTATAGTAATCACGCATTGCACCGCGTAATCTAAATGAAGTTAACGAACACTGCCCAAGTAGCTTTTCAAGTGAGAAATGAAAAATAGTATTGTAGTTGAAGACGAAAATCCCTTCTTCATTCTTATACGGCCCACGCAATCTTTGCATTGGAGAACGAAAAATAAAACCATCATAAAGACGAACTATTTAAAGTTTAAAGATGCCTTCTTAATTTTCCTACGGATTTCAGTAGCTCGTCAACAGGAGAAATTCTCCATACTCAGTGATTCTGCATCAAGTCTGACGGCTATCGCAAGTCAAAACAGCCGGAGTCCATTGGTATACAGAATTCAGAAACAGCTTCTGACAATGCCTATTTCGCAAAGACCCACTTTAAAATGGGTTCCCGCTCACACAGGGATTCAAGGCAATGAAGCCGCTGACCTACTGGCCAAGCAGGCAGCCAACTGTACGGATATATTAGAAAGACCAACTAAACTTCCTTGGTCTCATATTAAGCGAACAACTTGACAAGTCTGCCTACAAAATTGGCAAAGTAGATGGACAGAGGCAGAGGTAGGACGAAAGACATTTCGCTTACTGCCAAAAGTTAACATGGAAATAAAGACCCACTGTGCTAGCCTAACACAGTTCTTGACAGGTCATGGACCATTCCCAGTATACCTGAACAGATTCAGACTTAGGGATACTCCTTTCTGCGAATGCGGAGAGGAAGGCGACACGGACCATTATTACTTCCATTGTGTACATACAAGAACCTGGCACTTGAAGAAACCAGCGGACTGTGCCTGGGCAATGTGGACGACTAACACACTCAAAAAGAGAATAGCCCTTGATAAAATAGAGAAAATCTCAGAACACTGCCTAAGCAGAAACAACCGGGGATAATATTATAATGTTTTCAAAAGTTCAGAACTTAAAGCAGATAACCAGAATAACGCTTAGTGCCTTGCAGTTAACAATATGTAAAAACTGTTATTAATTTATAATATTCAACCTTGTTACTCTGGAGTCTTCCCCGCCGTGATGGTATATAATTCCGTTTGGTTCATGTCCGTGGTCGGAAGCCATCATAGCGGTGCACTCACTCACTCACTCACTCACTCTCCCGAAATACATTATGAGGTATTTGGACAGAAATGTATTCCCTGCTAAAAATGCCCCCATCGAAACCAATAAAACTTTTTATGGGTACCCATAAAATTCTATAGATTCTACTGATTTTACTGGTTTCTGTTGGTCTTTGTGCGTTTTCCTTACTGGTTTCAAAATCCCCCATAGAAACCAGTAAAAATTTCTACTGGTACTCACAGAATTCTGTTGGTCTGTACTGATTTTTACTGGTTTCTATTGATCTCTGTGGGTTTTTCTTACTGGTATCAACTGACACCCATATAATCAACATTAATGTCAGAACTTTCTATTGGTTTATATTCACTTTTACTGGTCAAATCATTAATATAACAATCAATAATCGAAATGGATGCCAAATAAATCTTCTATAAGTTTAATATGGGTTTATACTAACTTCCTAACTGACGTCAATAGACTTCTTGTAAACAATGAAATTAATACTTCTTGTTGTCTACGGATTATTTTAAATTATTTATTTATTTTACAGAATTCTGTGGGTACCCTTTATAAGTCTGTCATACTATAATCATGTTGTATTTTAATTTCCCCCCCCCCAAGAAAGTGGGAGATCTAAGCTATAGCTTGTATAGCTTGTACGTAAATCCTGCACTGAACTTTGCTGACTGTTCAACAAGTTCTGAAACGGAGTTCCTCCACTGATAAAAAACTAATGCATGAAACTGATTTTCCATCTTTGCTTTTATACTAAAAAGCAATGTTCTTAAAGATTGAAAGGTGATAATTTGGCTTAGTGTGTTTACAGCAGATGCACAACACATATGTTTTGCATTCTATTGAAACTGTATCATTGAAAACTTGTTTTTTAATTATAATTTAGAAATACTTTTTAAAGCTTGTTCATGTACATGTTTATCATTTGAATATTATCTACTAATAAATTTGAGTATACCTTTTAAGAAAGATCTTGCATAATTCAGTTTTCAATTTTTCGACTAAGGTAATGTGGTTAAGTAGAAAGAATATTTTTTTATATCTTAAAAAATGTGCTAATTATATTTTGCCAAACAAAAAGGAAGTTTTTTTTAAAGAAGTAAGCATTGAAATATTTAATGCGTGTATTAGTTATTGAATGAGGTAGGCAAAACACACAAGCCAAGAAATCTTTTTTCATTATTAAATTTGTGAAAATTTAGATGATTATATAGTAGCTCTTTTTGGTCCATTTTTCTGTTCAAGTATGAGACTAGAACCACAATGTTACATTAAATATTTTGCGCTGTTTTGTTAAAACACATTATAAGCAAACATTTTTATGCATATTTTGATTTTCATCATTATTAGTATGATGAAGAAAATTTCAAATGGTTTTTTTCATAAATTGCTTTTGAAATAGAAATCGAGTTTAGTAACATTAAAGTTCATAAAATATTAAATGTGCTAATCTTGGGAGTTAAGATAGAAATAGGAATTATTTATTTGAAAAAAAGTTATGGGAAAGTGAAGGGAAACCTCATGTAGTGGTTATTTTCTTAGATGCCACCTCTGACAGTGACGCATTTGTCGAGAACATAATTAAATAATAGTACTTAAAATCACTGATTGTTTTGGAAGAAACTAGCATTATTTGGAATTGTGGAGTTAATTGGTTTAGCAAAATTGAAAGGTTTTAAAATCATGAGTCTTGTAAGGGTACTTTTCAGCATTTCAAACATAAGTACTACTTTAGCATTACTTTCAAATATAATTAAAGTAATATTTAATCATTATTTTCTTTCATTAGTTATACTGCGAAAATGGTAGTTGCAATTTTCTGCACTAAATTTATTTGTTTGTATAGATTATATTAACGTAGATAAAACTGTTTGTAAACAAATGTAAGTACAGGTGCGGCAGGGAAACTACCTTATTTTAAAAATTAATAACGCAAATAGTATAAGCGATATCAGTTTAATTTTTTTTTGCAAGTTATAGAGAGACACTTAAAGTTTTTTTTATTATAGTTTAAAAATAATATCATCAAGGTGGCCTCAGTTCTGGTCAATGCATTGAAATAGTCGAGTTTTGAAGTTTCTTTCCTCTTTTATCAGCATATGAACAGGTATGTTGTCGATAGCCAGTTTGAATACTGTTCTTCATTTGAGCCACGATCTTTGGGCGTTAGAGATTTTAGGTAGCCCACAAAAAGAAATCACACGTTGCTTAATCAGGCGAGAGCGCTGGCCACTGAAGATCGCGCCGTAAGGAGATAAGGCATCCAGGGAAATGTTCCCCAAAAATCCATGGTCTAAGGATGTCTATTCTGGACAATGCACACCAAACAGTCACACGTTCTGCGTGGAGGGGCTGCTCATGAAGTTCTCAGGGATTCGTGCCACTCCAATATCGCATATTTTGCTTATTCACGCAAAGATGAAACGAATCTCATCGCTAAAGAGCACAAGGGTATCATGGGGCATATTGTCAAGAACGGCTTCGCATGCGTTTTCTTCGTGAAAGAAAATCGCGTAGATTAAGTTTTTGCCAAACTCTCAATTTATATGGATGGAAATGCAGTACGTTGAAAAGTACGATTCCACGGCTAACGCGCGCTACTCTTTTGTCCACTGCATGATTGGTACTAAACCTACATGCCATAAAACGTTAGACACCGCTCTTTTCAATCAGCGCCACTCCACCCTTCTCGGAATAAATGGCACTAAATGGCACGCGTTTCAAATAAAGAAGTTTCCCTGCCGCACCCTGTATATGTGCTATATCTGCTTAATTGCAATGACAATAATTTTAACTGTGTGTGTATAAGGCTGTGTAGGAGATTTATTTATACTGTTAAGTACTACACCATATAAATTTCATTCGGCAGTGTAAATACAGGAAATGATCAGCACGAAGTTTTTTTTTTTTTTTTTTTTTTTTTTTTTTTTTTAAATATCATATAATCTACGGTCAATAACAATAGCTACTTTTTCAGTACTTTAAATTTTACTATTTAGATTTTGTACGGTTTAAATAATACTTCTATACAGTCTTTTTAAATATTTATACTACAAAAATCTAAATAACTTATACCTAAAGCACTGACTCATTTATTCCAATAATTCATCGTTTTAATTAAGTTTATGTTCTTGGAGATGCTATATGGAAAAACCTTTTCTAATAATAAATTATTAATATATATATATATATATATATATATAGGTAAATGGTAGTTTTATACATTTTTCTTTCTACAGGGATTTAGTTTCGTTAAATTAGTTATTTAATAAACAGATATTTATAATTACCTGTTCGTGAGTATGACTATATTCATACTTATTCACAGAGATGGAATTTTTACAGCACAAAATGTACAGTTTATGTTTTCGAGAACTATCTATTGTAAAAACATCTATTATGTTATAGATTTTATTTACATAAAGTCTGTCGAAGATTATACAGCACTAAAAGTGAGATAGAGAATAAGATAATATATCATACACTATGCGATATTTCCTTAATTCCCGAACTGTGAGCTGAGAATCGGTATTTGTTGGGTCTTGTAAATTTTTGAAGGTTTGTTTTGTTACAATATAATTTATTGTATCTTGCGTATTATTAAGTTTATTCTATTATAGATGTTTGTTATATTTTTTATGTATTATATTCTGAGAAATACAGGTATCATTCAAAGTATTGTAAAGAGCTGGTCGTCGCAGTATTCGTATATTATTATTTTTTCCCTGTATTATATTCTAGAATTCATCCTTTCTTCCATGTAAAACATCTATGTATATGCGTGTCATAATAAGCTGCAGGGCGTTGCTATCATTGGTAAACGAGCTTTGCTTGCTTGCTTATGTAATATTTTTACTTGTAATAGTGTTCCTCTTCCTGAAAATTAGGGTTTTGTTTAAATTTTGCTTAGTGCATTGTAGATAGCTTGAAATTTAAGCAGATGCTAAAACGTACCATCCTTTGGCAATACATTTCTTGTTAGGTATCAAACTGTTAAACAAATTAATGTGATGAAATCCCATTGTTTAATTTCCCAATAAAATAATTGAAATACAGTTTTATACAAATACAAGCAATGGTATACAGTGGTATGTGTATACATTTATAATCAAATCAATAATTAATATATATATATGTGTGTGTGTGTGTGTGTGTGTGTAATATTATGGTAGGCAGGCACAGGAATGACGAAGCTTGGTATCAGAATCCGGACATTGTTGTGGCTGATTGTAAGTAAGTCATCCATTAACGACAAAGAAGAATTTAACTTTATAGTTCCATATCTTTATTCAATGCAAATGACAGATAATTATTCTTTTAGACGAAATTCTCCAAATTACATATTCAATAATGATTTCAATTAAAATAATGTTAAATTTAGGATTTTGACGTTATAACTATTCTCACAGAGGGAAGAGTCTTGTAGCAGTGATAATAGGAAGCAGTCTGACGAAAAATGGCGCGAATTCTGTATTTATACTAGCAGTTATATAACATGCCAGAATGTTCTTGAAAGTACTGGTCTAGGGGGAGAATCCTGAAAATGCGTAACCTTAGAGGTTTCCTGTTCGTGTAGAGAAAAGCCATCGGATTTTTTACACTTTACATGTATAATAATCATTCTGCGTCGATTGACTATACACGGCGAATCAGTTCAAATTGTTGCCACCAAATATTATCGCCCTGTATTACATTCAAAGAAATTAAATAATGAAGAATCTGCATAAATGTATGTATGTTTCTTTCATTGTGATAAAACAACGGTACCTAGAGCCATCAAATTTTGAATAACGTAATCCTCCACTGATTATGAGCATCTGGAAGCCCTAATTTGGAATTTGTATTATTATCGATTTAATGTTTTGTAACATTTTAACGAATTTTTGATTAACAAACTCAACGATTTCAAAGCGAGCAATGGCAACATTGTACGAAAAAAAATTATCTCCAGCGCGCAAGACTATGTATCAGAAATTCTAAAAATATACTCATTTTAAAATTATTTCGAGATATTGCTGTTGAATTGAGTTTTATGGTTTAAGTGCAAAGAACATGATATTTAATAAATAAAGGTAAAAAACTTTTAAATAACGTCCATTTGGGAGTAATGCAAAATCTGAAGGCCTTTCAGATTTTTTTTATAAAATTTTATCAAGCTTATTTGCATTGAATTTTATTTAAAATTATTCTACATCCCATTTAGATCTGTATGTTTAATCAATGCTAATTGTGTACTTCTTCTGGTTTATGCTTATAATTATTAATTCTTATGGAAATTTGATCTAAATTTCTATCTTTGTGTATTGTTCTTCATAGGGATTCTGTCTATGGATACTCCGCTACGGTATAATTCTATTGGTTATGGGTTTTGGTCTACTGTTTTGTGCTGAGATTTTGCCAAAGGGGTACCTTTATTGGTCTGTAGATTTTTTTGTACTGGCTTTTACAGAAATTTGGCTAATGGGGTATTCATATAGGTGTATGAGTTTTTGTCTACTGGTTTTTTACAGGTATTTCACCTACGGGTACCTATATAGGTGTACAAGTTTTTGTCTAGTGGTTTTTATGGGGATTTGCCCTATAAAATAGAACCATAGAACCGCATGGGTATACCCATACAAAATCATAGAATTGGGTATACCCCATACGGTTACAGCCGAAAACATCGTGTCAAAAACATCGCGGTCGAAAACGTCGCGGAGAAAACAACGCAAGACGAAAACGTCGTGCTACAAAATATCGTAGGAGAAAACATCGCAAAAAGAAAACATCGCGGTTCTAAAACATCGTGGTACAAAACATCGTCGTCGAAAATATCGTGGTAAAAATTAAAGTATCTACAAATCATCGCATGACGATAACATCTCACACATACTTTTTTCAGACTTTAATAACTGTAAATGGATATCCGATAATGATTTGTGAGCGCAAGATGGAAAGAAGGATAATTTTTACTTTCATATTTTTTTACTAGCTAATAAATTTTTGCTAAGAAAATAAAAAGGAAACTTGAGCATAGAAAATTAATGCAACTTATAGCACTTAATAGAATTTTAAACCGATATAGTTAACTAACAAAGGCCATTAATAAATCATTTTTTATAAAGTTTTCACTGGTAATTTTTCATGAAAAGTGTAATTTGTAAGTTGCATTTGATTTTCTATGCTTAAGTTGCCTTCTTACTTTTTCAGCAAAACATTTAGTTAATAAAAAGTGTGAAAGTAAATGTTATCCTTCTTCACAACTTGCGCTCACTAATCATTATGAAAATATCCATTTACAATTATTAAAACTTGAAAAAAAAGCATGTCTGCGATGTTATCGTCAAGCGATGATTTGTACATACTTTATTTTTTACCACGATATTTTCGACGACAATGTTTTTAAACTGCGAAGTTTTTGAACCGCTTTATTTTCGACGTCGATGTTTTTGTACTACGATGTTTTCTCTTTGCGATGTTTTCTCCCACGATGTTTTTGCCGCGATGTTATCGGCGGACACCACCCCATACAGTTCTATTGATTTTTTTATGGAGATTTGGCTTATGGATTTGGTTTATTGGTACCCATACAGTTCTACAGATCTCTATCTACGGGTTTGTGTTTATGGGTTTTTACTTGGATTTGGCCTACGGGTTTCTTTCTATGGGTTTTTACACGGATTTGACCTACAGATACTCGTACCAGTTGTGCGGATTTCAATCTGTGTTTTTACGTGGATCTGGCCTACGGGTATCCATAGTTTCCCGTAAAATAATTTTATGGGTTTCTACGCGGCATTTTTAGCAGGGTTTGCTGCCAAATACTGCTCTAGATATCTCTAGTTTTCCTTTGATGAATCCATTTCCTATGTCTCGTATATAGTGACTATTTGAGAGGTGCATTCAATAGGTTAACACATTCTATAGGTTGTCACATTAGATGATGCGACACCTGCTTCTTCTGACACCACATGCGTGCTTGTATTATCTTTATAGCTGTGATTGTTTTCTTGGAAGTCAGCGTTATTGTTTGCTCGGTTTCAGAATATTAAAACTATCAAAATAGTAATATTCTTTGCACAAATTATATTTACTGAAATGGATTAAAACACAAGTTTAACACTGTCAAACGTTCAAAATAAAAATTCAGCACACGTTTATTAATTGCAGGATGCAAGTAAATGGTAAACAATCATTAGCATAAATAAAGCACTGAACAATTTTGATTATAATTTATCTTTAAAAGTATAGACTTCAAACTGCGTAAAACATTGAAAGTATTTTCTGTAAATCAACGGAAGTAGTCAATGGAATGGAGTATGTTCAAAGAGTACTAATCCTTGTCAAAAAGTGTGATCTTAGGCAATCAGAACTTTATGTTTACTAATACTCGAAACTTAACAGCACAAAATTACCAAATGCGCATCACAATCGATAACAGGAATTAAAAAATTGTCTTTTAAATTAAAAATAATGCTTCCTGAGTATATGAATACTTATGTCAGCAAGGGAATTTTCCCTATTTTTTGGCAAAAAATTCTTGATATTGTTACTAACTGCAATTAAACTCTGAAAGTAAATATTTAAGAAATTTTGCTTCCTGTTCTAGGTCGAAAGATGATATCACCAGGGAAAATAATTGGTATTATTTGTGGCGTTGTGTTTCTTGTCATTGCTGCAGTGTGTGGATGTTATATTATAGGAAAGAGAAGAATGAAGAACCAAACAGAAACTACCCTTATTCACCAACCAGCTTATCCAGCAACATATCCACAAACAGCACCTTACTATCCTCCACCTCCACCATATACTCAAGTTCATAATAATCTAAATTATAGGTAGAATAGACTCTAAATTAAGCTCATAAAAACGCTTTCATTTCTTTCAAATTCATTTAATTTTCATATAATTTATCCTTATTTAAATACTTTGTCATTAAAAAAGTATTAAAATTTAATTGCCTTTCACGTATATTTAATGCTTTTATTATGCCAAACTTTAAATAAGTTTTTGTGACGAGTGTATATCTACTATTGCAATTTCTATTATAATAAATAATGTTTTATGAAATTAAATATCTTGGTATTTTAAGTCTTTATTGTAGTTCAAGGACGTATCATCAAGCTCAAATGAGAAATACATCGGTGTCCAAAGGTATATTTGTATTCATACAAATAACTGATTTCTTTTTAACATTACTGAATAAAATTGCATGTATTTACTTTATGTGTTATGATGTTATGTATCACAGCAACTAGAAAATGGAATGTGAAGGCAACCAACAAGAAATAATATTATGAAATAATAGGCTACAACGAAATAGTAAACAAACACGAATATCTCGGGAAACAAATGTAATTTTTTTTTAAGGAAAGAAGGCATTGAGTCTTATACAAACATATTACGCAATATCATGCTCTCAACGAAAGGATTAGAGTTTTGGGGAATAATTTTCGCTTTCCTTCCAATAGCTTTTTCAAGGAGCTAACAGCTTTAGGAGGAGAATTTTGCAATACAACAGATTTTTCAGGAATGACTATTAATTTGTCTGTAGAATTAAAATTAGACTAATCGGCTGGCCAATTCATTTATTCAGTACCTCCGATTTCGAGAAATTTATCACCGAGGTTTACTCGATTCATAACTAGATTTGCGCATTAGAGCCTGTAAAGAATTAGATGTAAGCATATATTATGAACTATGTAACTATGTAAGCATATATTATGAACTATGTAACTATGTAAGCATATATTATGAACTATGTAACTATGTAACATGTAACTTAACTATGTGAGCATGAGCATTAATTATGAACTATGAAGCATATGTTATAAACATGTAAGCATATGTTATAAACTATGTAAGCATATGTTATAAACTATGTAAGCATATGTTATAAACTATGTAAGCATATGTTATAAACTATGTAAGCATATGTTATAAACTATGTAAGCATATGTTATAAACTATGTAAGCATGTATACAGGATCAATGTATGCCCTTATAGGGCCCATGAGGTGTTGCCCCGGTTTGCGGAACCTGGACTAGACCCGAATAGTCTAAGTAAGCCGCACGGGTGTTCAGATTCTGCTCTCAACTGTAAAGAATTAGATTTACATACCGTTTAAAATGACTGACTCAAAGGCGTAGGTGTTCATGTAGATGTCTCTCGACAGATGTACTTCTGTCGAAAGAGCGCAAGGAAGTGCATCGATTGATCACTATTCTCCACCATACTATGACATTTTCATCGCCGTAATGGTCATTTTCTCGAATTTTATTGAAATAATTTCACGTTCCTGGTTACCTTAAAATGCGAAAGTACTTAAAATTAGATTTTTTTAATTGATCTTCGACTATTCGCTGACCTTTGTTGTAAACTTCCGTTCTGATGCTCTTTGCATTCAGTTGGGTCCTTTCTTGTTGTGAAACAACTGAAACAAACTATTGGTTTTCTGTCATAAATGCTTTTTCACTAAACCTTTTGAACACAGTTTGATGAGATACAGAAGCTCCAGTGACGTTTGCTAGCTTTAGAGTAAGCATCTGCGCATCCATCCTCTTTTTGTGATAAGTAAATATAGATTTAAAATTACCTTACGAGACAATTTTCTTCTTACGCCCTTCAGCAAGTTTCCGAAATTTTAAATTGGTTTCAGAGGGCAGAAATCACCAATTTTGCTATTATTGTCTGCCTTGTGTCTGAACAACCATAGATTATCTCGTCAATGATGCTTACCAATGGCACTATGATACGTCGTAGTCATAAATAACAGATTTGAGTTGATAAATACAAAAAAATCATAAACCGCCAGAAGTTCATAAAGAAACAGATTCAGTAAATTGGATTCGATAATGATAATAAGATTGGGCTTTTGCTTATGTAATAAAAATAAATCAGGTTAATTATTTACTTCATGAAATATCATTATACGTATAAAGATAATTTTGAACATGAAGGTATGTAATTTCAATTTCAAAAGTAAAATTATATATCAGTTTATCATTTTATGTTATGGTTCTCTGTCGCAAGCTTAAACGATGGGCATATGAATACTACAAACATAAGCCTAATAATGTCCAGTATCAAAAGCTATCATGACCTAATAATGTCAAGTAAAGAACTGTAATACTTGAAAATTACAGTAAAGGACATGGGGATATTTGTTATTACAGCGCACATATTAAAAAAGATTTTAGCTTATGCCTGTTTTTCCCTTTGAAATTCTCAATTCGGATGATAAAATATTTACGTTTTGTATCTTACTCCTGAACAAACCTTTTAAACAGCTTTATCAGTGGCCGAATGATTAAAACCGTTGAATTCTGGGAGTTTGATCTGTGTTCGATTCCAGGCGAATGGGAAAGCTTCCTGGTTCGTTTTACTCACATGCAACTTGAATAATGAACTGTTTCAATTAGAGAAAATGCTCTACGAATACATCTCTTCCTTAGGCTAGATAGTCCAGGTGTGCTTTGCTATATTCAAATAACAAAATTTTTCTCAATATAAATATAGAGACTGGAGGAAACTTATAAAAATTTAGATTTTGTTGTTTTTACAAGTTTGATTTCTTTAAACTTAAAAATACCAAAATATGAATATTTGGGTCATTTAAAACATTTTTGTAACTGGAAGTCTGTTCACTATCAAAGTTTGCAAATACAAAGGCCGGGTAAGAACTTTTGTGAATATGGTGTATATTAAAAAAAATGACACATACAACGAATAACGAATTAAATTTTGGAATGAAAAGTATTAAAAATTTCTTTTTTGGCATATAACCCTAATATAATATAAAAAGCAATGTAATGTAATGTAAAAAGTATTGCACAAAATATTGTTCAATTTATTTTGCTTTTAAAAAAGTAAAACCATCAATAAATTTTTCAAAATCTATCACTTCATTCATGTTTTATAGAGAGAATGGCTATGTTTAAAAACTTTTCTTGACGGAGTAAGATGATATGTTTTTTTTTTTTTTTTTTCATTTTCTGTAAATGCCGTAATTATTTTAAGTCTCCCGAAGCCTCTTTCGTCAGTTACATTCATTTTTCATTAGTCAGAAACTGAAAATCAGAGCATATTTCTGTAAATCTTTGGTACCTCTCTTTCAGATGCGAGATTAAATAATCTAACGTTTATTTAATCTCTTCTACGAAAAATGTTTTTCTGAAAAATTTTTTTCTTATCAATTTATTCTTGACAATCTAATTTACTCATTAACCTTTCTTTTTCGTTTCTATTCAAATTCTACTGATATATTTATCGGTAAATTAAACTTTTACATTTCTCAAGAACATTTCCAGAAATACATTTTCTCTAGAGTTATGAAAGACGTAATTACTCGATTAAATATGCGGCTTTGTAAACAATAATTTTGGATTGCATGACTTTATTCTATTTCTTACAGTATTAAAGTTCACACAGATAACATACATAAAATTTTTTATCTAATTTGCTTCCAAATGCTATTATTTTCCTCCCGTTATTTGATCATATTACTTCAAAAATTATGAACAAATGTACTTATATTACTTGTTGAGAACTATTTTACAACATTTATTCTTATAGCCATCGCATATTCGTGTTAGGTATATAGAAAACAAGAACATTGTTATAAAAGTCGAAAATAACACTCTTAATTTAATGTGAACAACATTGGCACATATGGACGCCATATAAGTATAGGGACATATTTCTCTGTGGAAAACTGTTTAGTATGCGTTTTCCAATAAAGAAAAAATTCTATATTTTAATATGAGCCTAGATTTTGTTATAAAACTTTTACAATAACTTTCTGCCACAATTTACCAGCGCTTATAATCCACAATAATTCTTAGATTAAACTAATAATTCTATATAGGTCATCAACATTGATGTAAACTGAACATGATTTTTATATTCAAACAATATAGCTTTCCTAAAATTACCTAAACATGTTTCCATCGCTTATTTGAATTCTTTTACGTCAGGCTCACCAGCGGCCAAGCGGTAAAGTCACTGAATAGTAGTAGTTCAACCTGGGTTCAAGTCCCGGCAAATCGGCTGGCTGCATGGGTTTTTTTTGTGGTTTTCTTCGTGTGTTAGGTGGATATGAGCCCGTTTAGCCCTTCCGTTAGGCAGGTAGCTCTCGCGTGGTTTGCCGTAATCATACAAACCAAAACTACTATCTACAATGAATTTTGAACCTTCATTTCCTTTTCTTCAACTAGTACTAGTATTTCTTCAACAGAGTATTAGATCAACAACTACTTCCTTCCAATAAATACATTAAGTAAACTTGAAATTTTCATTTCAAGAGATATTTCTGATTGAAGCCTTTTCTTAGCAATTACTAAGTAGTAATTCCATGCTCCATGTTTTTGGTTGCTGTTCGTATTCACAAGTGATCGAATGTCTATCCCAGGCAGCTTATTATGACACGGTTTATGGCGAAAGAGCTGGCTGAATACACTAGTTCTCAGATTTTTCACATGGGTAACATGAATACAAGACAGTTACTTTAGAATATGTTTCACGAACTAAAGGCACATAACCTCGAGTGCTTTATTGTAATCTCTTAATTAACCAGATTTTAATAATCACACACCTTTCATCAATCAAATAAATTGTCGTTGCAATAAAAGCTTATTTGGGCTTGAGCAAAAAGCCAAGCTAAAGAAATAAGTCAACTACCAGCTTACGTGACAAATAATTTAAATACACTGTAAATATGGCAATAGAATTTAAATATACCTTAATTTAAATTTGGCAAAGGCTGTAAGATAATACTTTATATGTTATAACATAAAATAAAACAGTACTTTAAGCAATGACTTTTTGTCTAATTTTATGACCAGAAAAAATTGAGGTCTAGTAAGGTAAAACATTTTGGGCCAAAAATTTAACTGTGAGTGTGAAACCAGTCAAGGGTGAAAATGCAAAGCATCTGGGAAGTCGTTAGAGCAGATTATATAAGTTGCTGTAATAGAAATACATAATACGAGGAAATGTAAGGTAGTATGAAGCTTTCGGTGAATTGAGTGGAAAGAATTAATATTATATATTTAAAATTTTTATATGGCAAGACATTGGTAGTATAGAACTTCAACTGTAAGTTGCATTAAAATTTAACAGAGTATCAAAATACACAGTTTACATAAGGGGAATTAAAGTCAGGAGAACCATCAGCCAGCCGATAAATTTGTAAGTTTTAGACATGATACATATATAATGATAAGTATCCAATGATTGCGATTTTCAAGAGCGTCATATACATATTCTTCCTTGCTCTGCTCGTTCACCAAACGCGTCGCCTATCGAACATGATTGGTATTTCGCGGAATGACAATTCGCACATGACACTCGTCCCTCAGCCAATACCAATCAACACTGGGCTCATATCGAAGTAATATGAATACTCTTCCTCAGATATACTCAAAACCTACTTGGTTCAGTGTTACAACAAGTACGAGCTCTTGATCCAGCGCATTACAACTTGACCAAATGCTGACTTTTTGTATTCAATACTCTCGTACTGCTCTGTAAATTTAATAGTTTCTTTGCATCACTACAGATCGTACGGGGAATAAATTTCATTCATCTTTTTGATTCTTTCATATATTGCAATTTTCACAAATAAGAGTATACATTCAGAAATAAATACAATGCTAGCAAATCATTGATAAAAAATCGGAATATTACAGATTTTTAATATCGTTCATAACATTCTGGAAAGAAATAGCAGTTATTCATTCCTGAAGAAATTTTACCAGTCGGGAAAAGGTTGTTTGAAATATATAGAGCTTATAGAACTTCAGAATTCCCACACAACATCCTTTTTTGTTGTATCGATATACTAGAATTTGTGTCTTGCAAATTAAAATTGCTTGTTTATTTAAAAGATTGGGAACTAACTGGTGTATGGCGACCGCGACATAATGTTTTACAGCTTATGACATGGTTAAAAAATTATTATTGCAATTAGTAAAATATAGGCTCGCTAGCATTGACACATTAAACAAATTTAATTAAATTTTAAAGTGTATATTTAGCATTGTGATTTTAGAACACTCACTTTCTTCTCTCATTTTAACACTGAAGGATCTGAAAGATACAATTTTATGCAACCATTTTACATTTTTTACATTTTTATTCGAAATATACGAAATCCGAACTTCCAGTCATGTTTAGATTTTACAGTTCGTTTTTCCTGAAAGCACTCAGCAGCAGAATTTCTCGTGGTGTCCCAAAATTTCAATAAGCAGATTGATGAAATTACGCAGATGCACTGAATGTTAAAGTTAGTTGAAGAAAACAAATTAGTCTCCTTTGCACAATTGAAATCCTGCGCCAGTCAGGGTAATTTCAGCTTGTATAATTTTGATCTAAAACTGTGGGTTCTTTAGCCTTATTTTAAAAATTTATTAAAACTTAATCGAACTACATAATTGCTCTTTTATTAAAAGAACTTGCCGGCCACATTCAGATTTACAAGTAAAATGATAAAACATAGTTTTCATTTTGAGTTCACAGCTAAGAAATGTTTAGATCTGCGTATTTTGAATAAAGATGTAAACTCTTTGAAAAAAATGGTACATTTCAAGCTAAGAGAGAACGTAAGTTTCTGAATAAAAATGAAAACGATAACAACAATATATTTAAACAAAGCTTTTTGTGTTTAAAAGCATTATCAGTGCATAAAGTTCTGAAATAGTTTCAAATGCTCCTCTCTGCACTGCATCATCCTTCAAGATTTTTGAAACATTTTGGATACGGTTCTCTCTCCACCATAGTTTGAAAGATATACTGATAGCATGTTTTGCAATAAATTACTAACTTTTTATACATATTTTTTTTATTCACTGAGGCAGAAACTGTTCTAATAAATAATTATGTTATAGAGTGTCTAATTAATCTGTACATAGATTTTTAGAGCAAGAGTAAATATGCTAATTATATGTACACCAACATGAATGTTACATTTCAACATGAATTTCAGATGCTGCTGAGTAACGCAAATTATGAGGGCCACAGATTACAACTTAAGTTAGCCCTGATCTGTACAGAAGTTTACCACTGGTTTAGAAGATCTTTTGATGGATTTACATTTGAAATGAAGTAAATAAAGTAAAATAAAGAAAAGCGTACTAAAAAAAAAAAAAAAAAAAAAAAAAAAAAAAAAAAAAAAACAGGAATAAATTTTGCTTGTAAATTTTATTACTTTTAAAAGAATAAGGATAACAAATGAGGTACAGCAAAAAATTGCATTTCGTTTCCAATACATTTAGTTTTAAATTCATGAATTAATAAAAAATTTCAAAAATATTAAATACTATGTGTAAATATTAAATACTGGATGACATGATTACTGTTTTTAACTTAAAACTTTAAACAAGTTAAAAATAGGAATAAATTGAGGCATGCATAATTTAATTTAGAATTATGTCAATTTATAGTATTTGAGAATATTTGTACAATTAAAACAATCAATATAAGTTTATAGTTTCTTTTGAAATTCTGTTATAAGTAAAAACTGTACAAAATTCCAAACGTGAATATAAGATGACTTGATTCTGGAAGAAAAGTATTCCACTTTGCATAAAGCACAACAAAGGAATATTCACATATTTAGAAAAAATTTCCCCATCATCTTATATTTCTTCATAGTTAAGTTGAAATCATATTAGTATTTGAAAATATTTCTTGGTTAGTCATCTGTACCCTAATTTAATCACTAGACATACGGTGATATTTAAACATTGCACGTGAGCTGACATCATTTATTTATCATTAATTTTTTTCAATACAGAATATATTAATTCCCAAACACATCATTCGATATATTAAGAATTTTTTTGTTTACGCTACTCTTATTTTTATGATTGTTCTCTATAATAAGCCATAATTGTAAATTACTATCATTATTTGAAATCTATAAAAGTAGGAATTTTTTTTAATGTGAAAACTTAATTTCTGGATCAAAAATAATATTAAGATACGCATACAAAAATTTGAGGCTTAAAAATAGCTAATTCTTAGTTAAATTTAATTCAATTCCTTAAACCTTCACTCATTTCGTTTAAGATTATTGTCAAGTTTCCTAAATTCTAAAAGATATTATCAGTAAATGGATAAATTTGGACCAATTATTTTAATGATAAACATATGTACATTAAAATGCTTGTACATTTACGCACACACACACACATATATATATATATGTGTGTGTGCGTGTGTGTGTATATATTGTCCCCCAAAAGTTAAGAAAAAAAAGCAGATTTTTCCTGTCTAGCACTCACAAAAGTAAGAAAAGCATAATTATAGATAACAACAAACTAGCTATACAGATTTAAAAGTCGTTCGCATAAGATGTAGTCACTAATATTCTGAACAAATAATTATTTAATTTTACAATGGAGAATTCCAGATATTGTTCATGTGCATATAAACTTAGTTTTCGGAAATATCTTAGCTGATATTGAAGAAATCAAGGATCAAGTTTGCAATTGCGTTAGGGGTAATCATATACAAAGGTAAAATTTAATTTTCAGTTACTATTGCAAAACCTATTTCTTATCTTCCAATTAGTTACATGATTTTTTAAAACATCTTATAATTTTTCAAAAATGAAAACTACTGAAACACAAATTACTAAACTAGTTAGAGAGATATCAACATACTTCTAATCATAAACATTATATTTAAAATCTTCTAATCAGTTACATGATTTTTTTAAAACATTTTACAATTTTTCAAAAATGAAAAGCCGATAACCACTGATATATTATGAAAATATCTAAATTTGCTGAAACAAAATGCCAAAAATATATGCATGCATAAAAAGTAAATATATGAGCGTATACTAGGAATAACTAGCGAACGTAGCGTAAATTTTATAAAAAATATATATGCAAAAGAATTAAACGCATAAACCAAATTACAACCCATTTTTAGAATCACAAAGTGAAAAACCATGTAAAATTTACGTATATTATAATATATGAAATAATACGTTAAATAAAATATATAAGCAAGTTTATAATTATTTTATCAGGCACTTTGACAGGTTAATGGCAAATATTTAAAATTCTAAAAGAATGGTTTCCTAAAAATTTCATTTAGTTTTTATATTAAATTTATAAATGTGCACTCTCTAGGTATGATAAAAACTGTCTCGATATGATAAAATAAGAATATATGTACGCATTTTTTATCAATATATTTCTAATCTAATCAGTTACAAAACATTTTATAATTTTTCAAAATGAAAAGCCGACAACCACTGAAAAATTATGAAAATATCTAAATATGCTGAAGGAAGATAAAAATATATGGCTATATAAAAAAATATTAAACATATGTGCGTATACTAGGAATAAATAGTGAACGTAAATTTGATTAAAAATATAAATGCAAAAGAATTAAATGAATAAACCACATTAAAACCCATTTTTTAGAATTCAAAAGGGGAAAACATGTAAAATTTAAGCACATTATAATACATAAATAATATATGAAATAATACGTAAATAAAATATATAAGCAAGTTAATAATCATTTTATTGGTCCCTTTTTTCCGGCAATTTCATGGCAAATATTTAAAAATTCTGCACGGATGATTTTTCTGAAAATTTTATTTTTTATATTAGATTTATAAATGTTCATTGTCTAGGTATGATAAAATAAAATACGGCCGCATTTTTTATCAACATCACTTTTTCCAATAGTTTCATGGCAAATATTTAAAATTCTGCACGGATGGTTTTCTAAAAATTTTATTGGCCTTTTTATATTATATTATAACTATGCACTGTCTAGGTATGATAAAGTAAGAAAATATTTCCGTATTTTTTAATATTCAACTTAAACAAAGCAAATACTCATGCAATTATAATTGATAGAAATTGATGAAGCATATTCATATCAAATAACTGCACATCTGCTCTGTAAAGCATTGTCATTACAAAAATTTTTCAAGCAAGATGATAAAGGATTCAGATTTGTTTATGAAATAACTTGCTTATGTATATCTAAAATATTTAGTGAAAGAGATATGTATAATGACAAACTAGTAATTTGGCAAATAAATACATAAGGCACTCAATATAATACAGGTGACAAAAGGAATACACAAGGCACGCATTATAATACATATGTAGAAAGCAATTATGTAAACACACTGAACACAGTTAAATTATAACAAAATAACAACTTAAAAATATCACATATTTTGTAGTCATTTTTACAGTCCTTTCTACATGAGAGCTGCATCTCTTGTCATTGAATAGAACACAGAATTCTGATTTTTCATAAGATCTTTAGGATTGCCTTGTTCAATTACTTTGCCAGATTCCATAACAATACTTCTGTAAAAAATGGAAGAAACGTGGTAAAAATTATGTACTACAAAGTAGCCGTACTTTTTTTTTCCAAACTTCAGTAAAAGCTGCAGTCTACGCCAGCTATTTTCTTCTGCATTTACTGGTGTTAACTTTATAAGTACCACATGCATTACATTTTATACATAAACAAAAAGAAGAGAAATCCATCAGCTTCAATATAACGTCTTAGCAGAAAGAAATTTAATAATTATAAAGGCATTTTCAATTAGTTAATTATTAGTTCATGATAAGCATACAAGAAATCCCTTAGTTGTTTCAAAAATTAATTGGGTTTTTCGAACTCCGTTAAATATCAATATTATGGTGTTTTTAAAAGGTTAAATAAATACACCCAAAATGTTAGATAAATGAGCATAGTTTTAACGAGAACAAAATCCCAAATGCTTCAGACCAGCCTTCTTTGCTTTCAGAAACAGAATGAGATCCACACCATGTGCAAGAGCACAAGGAACGCATTCGAGAAGGTTCTGCAACAAAGCAGATAATATATTGATAAGAAGTGAAACGCGTAAGAAAATATATTTAAGGAAAAGTGAACAAGAAACGATTAAGAAGGAAGTTCTTTAAAGTTTAAATATGGATTAGAATTCAAAACATTAAATGAAAAAAGAAAAATGTGTTCGGATTAGAAAAGCCTTTAAAAATCTAATTCATCAGCTGAAAAAGGGCTTTTCTCGATAATTTTGGCAGCAAAAAACCAAAAAATATTATCCTACTAACACTACTGTGCAACAGATGATTTAAGAATTTCTTTCCCCGCGACGAATTTAAGTTTCATGTTGTTTGATGCATGGCTCACCTAGTTTAACCAACGCATACTATAACACACTGGAAAGGAACGCAAGATATAAACCAGGAATTTATACCTGAAATATGACAGGGATTAACAATAATTCTTTTAAAGATTCTTCACTGATTGCCGCTTGAGGACAGTAACATCTTCCCAAAATATATCCCGCATGTTCAAACAATTTTATCTTAAATATCAAGTTATTCATTTCAGATATGCAACGGTCTGCTCTTTAAGATATCTTTACACAAGCACAGCTTGTTTGAGCAAAAGCTATCGTCTAACGAATGATTTCCTTGTCAGTTCAGAAAAGATACAATTAAGGTCGAGAATATCGTCTCCATACTTTTAAGCACTGAAATTTCTATTTATCAAAGGCCTTTGCATTTACTTTAGAGAAAATTTTGCTTTCACCTAAAGGAATATCACACTAATTTCGCCCTTAAAAGATTTCTCTGAAGCATCTTACTGGGATGTAGTAGAAGCCTGATTCCATCCATAAATGAATACTGCTTATTCATATGCTGCAGTCAATATGGGGATTTATTTATGAAGAGAGGACTTCCACTGTTCTTCGGTTAAGTGCCCAACTGAATCGCTCTCTTGCTACGCGGGATAAAGTGTATGTTATTTTCTGGTCGTATGAGTACAAATCACAATCATGAAGCTCTCTGCACTCAGTGAAGCTACCAAATTCCAATACTCCCAGTAGGTGTTGCGAGAAAGAACTGCAATCGAACTCGAGCGTATACGTATCAGTATTATCCCTAAGTTTTATGTTTTTACATATTACTAAGCCTTTCTAAGCTGAACTCTTAAACACGAGGAATCCATGTTTAGAAGCCCGATCTGTGAACAACAAAATGGCTTATATTCAGTAAAAGTACCATGCCGGAACGGCTTTTGTGCGTCTTCAGGCGGCTAATGGTAAATCATCTGAGCTCATTTGGCTAATGATGTACCAAAGTCTTTTCTATAAATTGGCTATAGAGAATACTTTAATTATCTTTATGCTATAAAATGATAATTTTTAGAAAATGCCAATTTCTGTGCTACATAAATTAATTTAACCTGCACTAGTTCCATACAATAGATTTGCATTTCTTTACTATCAATACCCATCAATATAAACTGTAAAATGTATTTCAAGTGTAGACTGTATTGACCAAACTGTAAAATGTTTTTTCTACCGGCTTCAGATCTCGACGAACGTCTAGCTGCATAGGAGACTTTATAGTTTTCCCGATATCGAACACGAATACGAAGCAGTTTTCCTCAACATATCCTTCTTGAAGACATATCCTAACCCTTAGGCAGATAACCTCGTGTGCTAACCCAGCCCTTAACTGTCACCACGGTCTGTTGCTGTCGACATTCCTTTATTGTCTGATGGCGAAACTGGCTGATGATCGCACAATTTTTAGCTGATTTACAACGATTTTTATTATATTTTAATTAATGGGAAAGAGTTTGTGTTCAGACAGGGCTGCTAGCACTTTCAAAAACAGGTGTACAGTATCCTGCAATAAGGCCTGTACTTCCCATGTTTTCACTGTTAGAAAAAGACATGACTGATCACTTAAATACCATTAGCCACATTGTAATGTTTTGTAACAAGTGAAACACCATGTAACCCCTTCAGTTGCATCTAGCCATTGTATATTCCCGTACATTCTCATTAACTCACTTTTGTATGTTTTTCTTGCTTGATGTGTAATTTTTAAATATTTTAACTGAATTCATCTATACACCTTGTATACTTTTACCTACAACCCAGCCTTTTTATGTTTGTATGCCCAACTTATACTATAAAAGTAGTGTCTCTATCTTGTACTTTCCTTCCTTGTTCCGATCCTTCTGCCAGTATTCCTCACTTTATATAGTCATGTACCGGAGGACATTGTATAATCATTTTTTTAATTATATCGACGAGATCTGGCATGTTGAGCACCAAACCCAATGCATCAGCTGTTCTGTAAGTACGAAAAGAAAAAAAAAATATCTGATATCTAAAGACACTTTTGTCACAAAAGCTGTTCTGTAAATACGAAAAGAAGAAAAAAAGTATCTGATATCTAAAGACACTTTTGTGTCTTCAGACATCAGATACTTTGACATATTTCTTACCCACTGCTTGATTACTGACTGCATAAAAAAATCCGAGGCTCATATCTCTAGACTTTAGGGACCCCGAAAATCATATTATACTTCCACATAATCTAGTTCTTTGACTGATAAAAATACAATCAGCAAATGCAGCATAGAGCCACATCTTATAGTGTTAGGGTCCTGAAAGTATGCTGCACTTAGAGGTCTAGACTGTTCAAACTGAATCTTGTTTCCGTGTTCTGGAAAATCATTCTTCTTGCAGTAAATAATTACATGCTAATTAGAGATTATATTGTGACAATTCTGTTAAAACTCATGAAGCATGTTATCTATACTACCTACTAAACATGTAATGATATCCAGAGAATATAGGACAAGATCAGAAAGCCTTAACTTAGGAGTCGTTTCCATTTACTTTAGTGAAAAAACTATTTGCGAATTAAGCAAACAGCTAATTTAAGCTCATTAACTTAGGTCAACAACTTATGTACCTAAATCTACACTTCTGCGAAGTAGTAAGCAACTTTCATTCCTGAAAATAAATGCAATTTTCCAGATTTATTTTTATGTGAAACGAAAGAAAACTATTTTCAAAGTTTTAAGTTGAAAGAACATTTATAAATTTAATTAAGAGTTAGCCGCTTTGCAGAGATTTCAATAACTGTTGCGGTATTCTGCAAACTAAACTATAACAGAGTTTATAATTCCTTATAAGGAAACAAGGAGTGAAAAGTTTTACATATATTATAAAATATTTTTAATATATCTTACATGTCGTAATCCATCACTGTATTTAGCCTATGGGCAATTGTAATGACAGTACAGTCCTGGAATTCAGCTCGTATAGTTTCTTGAATCATATGATCCGTCTCCGGGTCGACTGCCGCTGTCGGCTCATCTAGAACTAAAATTTTTGTTCTTTTTAAGAGACTTCTTGCCAGGCAAACTAGTTGTCTTTGTCCCAAGCTAAAAAGTAAAAAAGGGGCAAATAATCAAAGTTAATGATTTTTTTAAAACTAGTACAAGAATAAAAAATATAATTAGATATTCTTTACAATATTAGCTAATTTAAAGTACATTTTGAACTAAATAAAACGTAACAATCAAAAAAGGTTTTATGCCATTCTTTGACACTGCATAAAAGCTGATATAAATTCATTTTTCCTTCGCCCCGCTTTCCTTCGCATGCGTGAATCTGTAGCGTATGTATTTACTGATCACACTAGCAAACTTATGATTTTAAACGCATCACGAATTAATCCTATGGAAATACTGCTCTTTATATGAACATTTTGCATTATATATAGAGTATTCTGCAACAACTGAACATTAATTGCCAAAATTGCCTGGTAGAAGGAAAAGTACACGTGTTTAGCTATTTTTAATGTAGATCTGAACTTTATAGCCTGATTTTAAAGCTAAAAGATTGGTCGCATCAGACTATTAGACAAACCTAAATTTATTTTCGATATCATTGTTAGAACAAATAGGCCAAATACCACTTTTTGATTTTAATATTTTCAGTAAAAATGTTCACTATATATAGATACTGATAGTTTTACACAATAAAAACAAATTATTGAGATCAAGAAGCAAATCCAATGATTCTATTGGTTCTGCAATCATAACTAGGCAATAATATTTCTACGCTGATTCGAAGATCTTAATGCGCACTTCTATGTTATTCAAATAAATTAGAACTGGGAAGTATATTATGTTCCGTTTATAACGCTCAACAAGGCTCATCATTAGCTAAGGAAATAAAACCGCTGGGAAACTAGTAGCTCGACTCGGGTCTCGTATCGGAATTGGCTTTACAAGAATTTCCGTAGTTTTCTTATATACCTTGAATACGATTTTCCCTTAGAATATGTCCACGAAGGCATCCATTCCCTAAGCTCTGTTGTGCTTTCCCATAATCTATTCCAAACCCCTCAATGTAAGCACATTTCTAAAATATCACAAAACCGATTCAGATATTCCTAAATAACAAAGTGAAAGCTATGAAAAACTTTAATAGATTCTTTACAATCCAATATATTCGTTAAGTTAAAACATTTTCAAATATTTGTAAATATTCGTTTTAACTATAAAAATGTCTTGTTATATTTCAGTGAAAGAAAATTTATGCACATAATATTTCACAGGATTATTAATAGTGCTGACAGAACTACATATATTGAATTTTGCAATTTATCTACCTTGGAAAACAAATCTAGCAACTTTTTGGAGTTTATACGACCAATAAAAATGGAGATAGGAAAATTTCTAACCTCAGTACGCCGCTAATAGTTAATACAGGGTACTTGAAAAAGATGGTGCTATTAAATCTCTGTTCAAACACTGATCGTAGACCCACGATCTCAGTTTAGTAAATGGATCAGACATGATAACATTTTAGACATTTATACAGCCAATCTACTGCACGTGGATGAACTTTCTCGATTGTATTCGAAGCTTACGTTTCACTTGAAGAAGCTTATAGTTTCTAATTGGAAGTCTGCGGCTGATTTAACTGACAGTTTTCCCGAGACGGTAGACAACTATCTAAGAGAGACACGTTGTTGATAAAATACAAGGTAATCCAATAATATCTGCTAGAAGCTCTTCATATCTATTGAAAGACTTGTTTTATTCATATGCAATAAATTCATTTGCGATGCCGTGAGAAATATGTGAGTACCAATGGTGATTATTGTGAAGAAAAAAAGTACTAAATGTGGGCAGTTAGATTGTCTCGAACATGGAAGTAAAAGATGGCCGAAATTTTCTTAGATGCCAAATAACTAATATCAACGTTTCTCCCGAATTTAAACTGAGGCTGTGCGAAAGAGCGTGTGAACGGGGCTTAAGTCATGCCAGTCTTGGGGAAAGCGTAATCTTGTTTGGCTGCTAACATTGAACTACGATGCACGGTCACAAAAACATCACTATCACAACGCCAAGTGTTAATGCAATGATGTCTCTTGCCACACTGCCTTATTAAGATTGAAGATAAAATTCGCAAAAGTTTATAAATCTGAAACAGTTAATTTTCATTAAGAATAGTTTGAAGAAATCTTGGTCACACTTAAGCCTTAGAAATTCTCTATGAACAGCTCATTTCGCTAATAATATGTGGCAAAATTTTATCTTTTAGAATCTCATCGCTTAATAATTGGTGGTATCAACAGAATATAAAAAGCAAAATTCAAATCGTTTTCAGATTTTTCAGTTTTAAAATCTAAACTCTGAATAACGTAAAAATTAGAATTTCCGAAATTCTCTCTTCGATGTCTGATGAAAATTTGCAGCTACATTTAAATTGCTAGTTAACAACTTATTACAGCACTGCTTTTTCATTTGTAACAACATTTATATTAAATATGTATCTTTCAGTTGAAATGAGAATCTGGCATAAGTGAGCCTTCTAAATACACGACGCTCGATCGCTGCTCAAGTGATACGCTCTCTGCCACCTCTGCTATGAATGATTGTGGCCAGTGGCCAATAAAGTTTTGTTTATGGTCCAAACGTTTAGTTTATGGTCAAATTTTTTTGTATATGATGTTTATGGAGTTTAAATCAAGTTTTGTTTATGGTCCGATCTTTAAAGTCCAAACTTCTTTTACGGTAACACTTTTTCGTAAATTTTAGTGTTACTAGTGAGCATAATAGTAAATATATGTATTAGTTGAAAAACGTATGGCTTTTATTGGAATCTATCGCACTGATAACAGTCGATAATTTTTGGTTACTCTCCGATGAATCGTTAATGAATTATTTTCTAGTGTCATTTATTAAATTTTAAAAACGTGTTTTTATTGACATAACATATTAAAAATATTTATAAATAAATTCTCAAAGAAACCTAAAACTTTTACAAGAAAATGAAAAGGAATATAATAAACGGTTACTGCTCTACAACTAAAAAAGGTATTTGTCAAAACATTCTACAAACAGACCTAGTTATCCCCACAGTCTTTGCTCTCGTAAGTTGTTTGTTTTCATCCTCTTCTTTCTTTTATCCTGAATATTTTCCAGTTTCATGAGAAATACAATGCTTTGGTTCAAAAGATTTAGCAACAGATCCTAACAAGGCTTTATGTACTGGTGTAAAAGGTTTGATGTAATGGTATAATATTAGTTATTACTATAATAATAAAACATCGTGAAATGTACTTGGATGCCCACGCCAGTGAGAAAAAAATTATTCTTCGCCAGTGTTTCAAATTATTAAAAAGTATTTAGTAAAAGAAGAAACCAGCTCTGCACATGATGATGAATGTCTCGGATACTAACCGGGGGGCAGCGAATTTGTTACTCACAATCAACATAAGGTCAGTTAGGCGAGAAATTAAACTATATTATAAGATTCTTTTTACTTCAAATTAAACATCTTATTCAGTTTTTCATATTAAGAACAAAAATTTAAAAACCGCTACAAGAGTTTTGATTTTTTAAGAAGTTTTCTGGATACTGGAGAAAACTGTTAGCCAAGGCAATAAATAATATCAGCCAAAGAATAAATATGATTACTCAGCTCTAATGATAATTAAAATAAACTTCAAAAATAAACCGATATCTTTACAGTTAAAAGACTGATAAGGTATACATTTGAATAATGGAAGCTTTAAAAAATCATATTTTTTAAAGAGCAATGTGATGAGCTAGAAAAATAATTTTATACCATGCATCTAATAATTAACTTTTTAAAATAATTCTTATGAGTTTTGTTACATTAAATTTAAAAAAACTCAATCATCCTCGAAGAATATTTGCTGTCATTGAAGTTTCGCAAATATCAGTATCTTGATGGAAAATTGCCTATTTCCTAAATGCATAATGAAAAATTACACTATGTACAATCAACTGACATATCAGTACTTCTGAAAATTAGAAATCAAGAATTCATAAGGCAGTATCATGATTACACAATAAAGATGCTGAATATAGTAAATTTTAATTTTGTTCTTCGAGATTTAACTGCCTTTCTGATGCTTAGATTCTCAGCGAAACATACTATTCTGTTAATATTAGTCACTAATTTCAAACATTTACATAATAATAGTATTCATAATTTTGTTTTTAAAAATTAAGTACAATTTACCTTAAATTTACTCCTCCTTCAGCTATCTGAAATTCCAAGCCTTCAGGAAGTGAAGTAATGTAATCCTTAAGATGAGCCCTTTCCAAACATATCCATACATCATCATCGTTATACTCTTTATTTGGATCAAGATTTGATCTTACGCTTCCAGTAAATAAAACTGGATCCTGAAATACAAAAGTTTGCAGTTATGGAATAATAGTTGTTTCAGATAAGATAGCCATTTATAAGATTAAATTTAATGAAGAGAAATTACATACATTTCTTGGAATGATGGAATGCAAATATTTTAAAGTTCTTTATTAGAAATGTGAAATAAAATAAATGTTCGCGCCTAATGACCTTCAATCTTGATAAGGCAGTGTGCCAAGAGACATCGCTGCATTAACACTTGGCGTTGTGATAGTGATATTTTTGTGACCGTGTATGTATGGTAGTTCAATGTTAGCAGCCAAACAGGATTAAGCTTTTCCCAAGACTGACATCACTTAACTTGCAGAAGTGGGAAAAAGAAGCCATAAAGGGAATAGTTGCTTTTGAGCAGGCAAGGAGTCAGTGACATCACGTAAGCGCAAACTTTGTAGTATAGTAACTTTTCATAGTCTGGACGAAAGGTGGGATAACGTACTATGTGCAATTTTGCATTAAACTAAGCAAATCAGCTATAGTCACTCAACATGTTTTGGCAAGCATACGGCAATGACCTGTATGTAGTGTTTCGAGTGGCACAGACGCCTCTCAAGTGACAAGAACAGTGGGACCGGTGCTTTGCTTAGCAAAGTGACTGTTTTGAATATGGTGTTCGTGCTTAAATATCTGTCTACATATCTGCATACATATCTGTCAAGCATGCAGCTTTACTAATGGCAAATTTCAAACTATCCATTAGTAAAATTTATCTAAACTTTTAAATTACAAAACAAATTTAGAAAGAATATTTTCTAGTTAAGTCTGCAGGCTTTCTTTCTCGTTTCGAAATATGAAATTATTTAATGTTGTAAAACATTTATTATGAAGAATCGCTAACCAGATTAATAGGCCCAGAAGAGTTTGACATGTTCAAGGTAAATTTGATTTTTGATTATAGTTTAATTATTGCAAGAAGTAGTCTAACCTAATAACTAGTTCTTCCCTAGTCCTTTTAAAATTTTTCTGTTCATTGTATGTTTCAATCTAGCCCATTTTAAGTTTCTTTATAAGGGCTGACAGTTTGTATTCCTATTAAGTATCCTATACACGACAGAAGCTTATAAATGGTGTATTCTTTGCAACGATATTTTTTTCACATACGTGTATTTTTTTTACTTGTTTATTAGAAGCTTTTTACGGAATAATATGTCAGACTTAAAATTATGCTATTATTTATATTACCATATCATTTTTTACTTAATTTGCACAATGAAATCACATCTCACCATAAAGTCATTACAAAAAATTCTAAACGATATTTCAGCTAAATCTAATGCGATGCTGCATAATTTTTTTGATGCAAAGATACAAATGTGCAGTGATTTCATAGTTTCAGACTAAGGCTTTGTCACACGCAAATAAACTCGTATCCACTACACATCGTTTAAAAAAGCAAAACGTAGTTTTGAAAGGTTTTTCGGTTATTAAAGTTGCTTCACATACTTTTAATGGGCAAAAACATAGTACTTTACAGCTATATTCAAAAGAGAAAAAAGTGAAAACCAATTACTTTCTTTGACATTAAAGTTCAAAATGAGATATTTAGTTTCACCTCTTTAAATATTTTTGCTAAATAGTAAAAATTAAGTAATATTAAATAAGCATATGCTTACAGAGATCAAATCGAATTCAAAAATTTTACCAGTTTAAAACGCAGCAAACAATAACAAAACAATTATGGATCTAATTATTTTATATGTGATAAAAGGTTACATAATAAATAAATATTTAACAAACACCGAAAAAATAGCGTACATGAAATGTTTTTCTTTAGGGTCAAAAATGAGTAAAAAATATAGAAAAAATTCATAAAATATATTATTTTTTATTCAACACATAATATACCTGAGGAATTATAGTTAGTTTTGATCTCAATGTATGTAGTCCAATTGTAGATATATCAATGCCGTCTATGGTAATATAACCTGTAGCTGCTTCAATGATCCGAAATAAGGCTAAAGTCAGTGAAGATTTTCCAGCACCAGTTCGGCCGACGATTCCTACCTGCAATTAAATGATATCACAAAGATATTTCTTAAATGAAAAGTGTTAATTCTATTTTTTATGGAAATAAGGTTTATGAGGATACATATGAAAAACTTTAAACGAAAAAGGAAAAAAATTCTTATTTTTGCGAAGAGCAGCATTTAATTCCTGTTTTGTCATGCAAAAATTCGTATTTCAGTAGATTTAAAATTAAAATTTCAGTTTTGTAAAAATTACAAATTCTAACATTTTGTACGGAACCATGGCCTTTTAAAAAAAGTCTACATTTATTCGAAAAATATAAAGCATTAAACATTTGACTCCCGTACTACAGTATTTAATTTTAAAGGTCTGAGATCATATTTTCTTAAAAATTCAGAGGTTGTACAAAAACGGATGAGTAAAATACTTAAATCTGTATGTAAAAAATGAAACTTCTGTCTAGGAATAATTTCTGATGTTGCTAGATTAAGTGATACGCATTGATATGCAGAACTGACGTGATGATGAATGTTGTTTCTTTCAAAAAGGAGATCATACTGTAGCGAGTTGACCCAAAGAAAGCGTCTCTCTACTGGCGTGAATGAAGAACTCTCACGTTCCAGTTTTTCTTAAGATTGATGCAATATCCTTCTTCGGACAATCATGAAAAGAAACAAAGACTTCAGAACCGTACTGATTATAGATCACGTTAGCTTTTCCCAGAATTGCTAAGTGGTCGTTAGAAAATAACTTTTCCGAGAATTTAGAGGTGGTCTAAATAGATGAAGATGTTACAATACTAACAGAATCTTGCAAATTTGTATTGTAAAGAATGGGAAGTTTTAATATTGCCGGCTAACGACTCTTAACATTATATTCATCAATTAAATATGAAAACATTTCTTGCCAATGACTTTCTTTTTACTATAATTATCCTGAAATATTAAAGCTGCAGTGAATATTCAGTTATATTTAGCATTTGAAAATTTAAAAATTATTTACATAAGATAATAATTCTGCTAATCAAGATCACAATTACAACTAAATTATTAATTAAAACTAACCAATTTTGATTGCATTACGATCTTTGGACATCAAAAATATTAATTGCTATGACTTCAGAAATATCTATACCTCATTATCATTACAAGAAATTTGTGATAGTCTCTTAACTCTGCCAGAAATTTTTCCGGAGAGTCTTACAATATTTACTAAAGAAAATTGGCATTTGTACTTGAGTATTGTGTTATTTCACAATTATATTAAATTTAATGACATTGTTTACAAAAAAAATAAACGGAATCCCAGTGGGCTCTAGCCCATCTTCAGCCATTTATAATTTGTACTCTTCACTAAAGAATTTCAATTCCAAAAACAGTTGTCTGAAGACCAACGCACCTATTTTTCCAACATTTACAGATATGTCGGTGATATCTTAGCCTTCAACAACCATAAAACGATTGAAGAAGCTCTTATTTACTCAGCTTGCATCAAAGTTAATGAAATTAACCTTCGTCAAAATGATACAAATTACTTACATTTACAGATACTGAATTACAAAAAACGGAAAATTTTTGATAAAAAAAGAATTTAATTTCCATACAATTAAGCTCATTAACTGGCAATCCAAGATTTCCAAAAAAGTAATACTTTTCACACAATACTTCTTAGAATTAAAAACGTATTCAATGAGATAAGTTACTCTCAAGAAGATTTATGAATTTTAATTGATTTGCTCATCGAAAATCAAATTCCCAAATTTAAAATTTGTCAAACGAAATTTTATTGGAATTCAGAGAACTGTTGCAACGTATTGGATTCATTGCAATGCCGATACATTCACATGTGTTGTTGCGAGTTCAGAATTATAGATTTTTTTAAAGCATAATTTTAGGAGCAACTGGATTTAAAGAGCGAAAAGGTTAAATAGAGAAAATATTTATAAATCCTTGGAAAATAAACTGTTTTACGTCTTTAAGGTAAAATTCTTCTTCATAAACTTTTACCGGTATCCACTTTACTGTTTGAGTATAGCACAAAACAAACAAATGAACGTGTTCATATGGTAATCATGTGGAAATTTAAATATTATAGTCATTAAAGCGATAATTTTACTCAATACCTAAAAATACACAAATATCTTACACACATTTTATGTGTGTAAGATATTTCTTACAGAATTCATGCAAAACCCATGTGTAATTAATTTGAAAAAAGCAACATATGTTTCTTACATACATATAACACAGAAATAATTCTTAGTTTAAAATATAAAGAATACCTTTTGTCTGGCAGCTATTTCAAAATTTAGATTATTGAGTGCAAGATCTAAGCCTTGCCTGTAACATGCAGAGAATTCATGAAATGCTATACGTCCTTCTTCTGGCCAATTTTCCGGAATTTCTTCGTTTGTAACAACCCACGCAGCCTAAATTAAAATCAAATCGTAAGTATATTACTCAGGTAAATAATATTACCAGTTTAAAGTATTAATTTTCAAAATTTGCCTGAAAGTACACCCTTTAAAATTACGAAAATTATGCTTCACAACACTAAGTTTTTTACATCAACGAGACATATTGGCAGTTTGACAAAATAGCATAATATGTTCTTTACAAAAAAATACGCACTTGTAAATGAAGATACGAAAAAAATTAAAGAAGGTTACAACTCTTTGAAAGCTATTTTGTTTGACTAAATATTAGGAGAGAAATATAAACAGATAACACCAAAACATAAAATTATTGCTGCGTAAATATTATTGAAGTAATGTTTATAAAGAAGCATAGTCTTTATATGTGTACTCAGCTGATTAATGAAATTATACCAATTCAAATAAGAGCTATGCTTAAAGGCCCATATGAATCATTCAAATTTGTTTCTTTTGGTAGGAGGTTCAAAAGTATATATGCATAAAACTTAGTTAACGATAGATTTAATTTTACGGAATTACTTCTCGAATGAAAATTTCTTTATTAAAATTAGCGTATATCTTACCCTGTGTGCTAATTTTTGTACGTTTTTTGAGCAATTGCTTTCTTTAAATTTCCGAAAAGTCTTTATAATTTCTGTTACGTCATTATCATCTACAATCTTGAAGTCGTATTTAAAACCATACATAAAAGGGAAGAAAAAGCGTCCAAAATAAAGCGTAAAAACGCAGCTATGGTACATCTCACGCTGTTTCTGCATTCCTTGCGCAATTTGTCACCAAAGAAAATTACAGACGAATTTGTCTGTAGACGGTCTTAGCAAAATGATAGTTGTAATGAAGTAACTTTTGCATAGACCATCATAAGTACTAAATGTAAAGGAGTGTTTTAATAACTGCAAATTTTCCCACAAAAAAACATTTACAACGACAGTGGAGCATCTTGCTCCGCTGAATGGCCAATTATACAGTGAAATTTTTATTTTATACCCAACAGAGAAAATTTAGTGAATACTGTAAAGGAGTTTAATGCCTTTTATCACTGGACAGTCTCGCTAATCTCCAGCTCCTCTGGTTTTTAACTCTATAGAATTTAACAGAATATGGCAACAATTTAGTGTTTAATTCAATCACTTAACCTTCTGTATTCGTGGGAAGTTTCTGGGTCCGTTATTAAGAAAAGTTTTAATATTAAAAAGCAGTTATTGAAAGTCTAGCGTCCAAAATTCTAGCGTAGTCTAGAAATTAGGAAGGAAAATAAATTCTATGTATTCGTATACAAGGAAATATTAATACCATTAAATACCATTAATTCCATTAAACTTTCCAAAAGCCTTTTTATATATTTTTAAAAGTTAATATAAAATGCATATTTCAGTTCGCACGCTGAACCTGGCTCTCATTTTACAGCATTTTTCAGCTTTGGTAACAAGAAAATTCAATTCCTAGCTTCCCTTGACATTTTAGTTTTCAGACGGATGATCTGTCATGAAAAATTTAACATACTTCCCTTCGCATACTAATTCCATACGAATATATCCATCATCAAACAGAAAAGGTTAAATTATTTTAAGACAGGAGTAATAGTATATTAAGATACTAGTTTTGAATGTCTCGGAACTTTATTTTTAGATATTTCAACAATAAACATGCGTTTAGATGTTTAAAAAATAATAAATCAAACTATAAAGCTTAAATTAATATTGAATAGGCACAAATTCTCTAAAATGCAAGGTAAAATGATTTCAATGTTTCTATAGGGTAACCAATCACAATTTTTCACAAATTTATTTGTTAATTCAATCATAGAACAACCATACTTAAAAATAGCAGTTTTCTTGTAATGACGAAATGTCGCTGTATAAGAATGAAATAATTTAAAAAATATTTTCAACATAGCTCACTGACAGATAAAAAAAAGAGCCGTAAGAATATTTTGGAAAAGAAAATAGTTGATATAATAATTAAAACATGGTATTTTAAAGAAAAATATTTCTACTTTAAAAAATATGCATAGTTTCAATTCATTATTTTACCTCAGAGGGCAAAACAGAATATTCTTCTACGCGTTCAACAGAAATAATTTGGTTTTGGAAATCTGTGCAAGTTCTAATTAACCAGGTGAAACTGTCAGTAACCTGCAAAAGAGTGATAACATCTAAAACATTGGAGTATCATTAATTAGTCTTTATAAGCTATTATTAAGCAATTATTTACTCACAGAAACGTTTCATTATTTTCGCAACACAAAATGACTAACCCATAATTTTAAGATTTAGTTTATGATCAAAAATAAATCTTTAAAATCAAAGAAATGCATTATTATCTACAATATATACACCGATTTTAAAATCAGTCATTTTTTACTTTAATGCAGTGCAGTAAATATTTGAACAAAATTTTCTATTATAGGTTGCTGCTAATTTATTGAACATTTTCCAGTTCTTTTCGCAAAGACGTACTGCGGGTTTATCGGTTTAGCACTCAAGCTCTTAACTCAGAGACGGATCATGCGGATGAATCCATGGATTTAAAATCATGGAAATGGGATTAAATAATTTAAATTCATGAGTTTAAAAAATTTAAACGACTGAAGTAACGTGGTATTTATTGTGTTGTAAAAATTCTGCAAAATATATTTTCCATCATTCCTGAATACCTTTAGCTCTGAATGCGCTACCATTATACCACGAATGTGTTACCATTATACTGTTACGAATTTGGTATTTAAAAAGCTAATGTTAGTTCAGTTATAAATTAAATGGTTTTATTTCTCGCGCAGTGCAGCGCGTGACGAATATTAAAAGAAAGCTAAGCCGGAAATTGAAATACAAGAGCGCGTGCATTAAATAATAAATATCTCTTTTTGATTTCGAGAAAGTACTGGAAAATTCTAGCGCGTGATTTTAAAATCTTATAAAAGGAGGAAAACATCTCAGTTTGTTGTAGTTGCTTAGTTTGTTTGTTGTTTAGAAAACTGCTCTTGTTGATTGTAGCGAATTCGCGGATTAGCGTTCTTTAGCTGTTTTGAATTACGTTCTATTGGACATTTGAGTAGTTAAAAGATAACTACTGTGAGGTATTGTAATACTGCATGATAATTTGAGAAGATTTAAGCATTTTTGTTGTGATAATAATAAATTTTTGTTCATTTTGCATCGGACTTGTGCATTCATTTCATAACGAACTAGTACGCACGCAACAATTTTTGGTGTCAGAAGTGGGATTTGAATGCCAATAACAAGAGCGATGGAGGAGCAATTGAGACAGCTCATCAGTGCTTTTGCTGCATTTAAAGAAGAAATGAAAGAAAAGATGGATGCTGGTTAGGAAAAGATGGAAGATTCCGTTAAAGGAGATGAGATCTTTAAGGAGGAAATGAAATGGGCCAGGAATCCGTTAAGGACGAAATGAAAGCCGTTCAAGCTGGTCAGAAGAAATGAAAGAGAAATTACATGCATAATAGAAAATAAATTTGAAGCTATGGAAGGCAGAATTGACACAGTTAAATAAAGTTGGACAAATTGAAGAAAAAGTTTCTTCCGTAAAAGATCAAATTGAATAAAGAGTTTCTTCGGTGAAGAAGAAATAGAAGAAAGAGTTTCTTCTGTAAAAGAACATATAGAAGGAAGAGTTTGTGCCGTTCCAACACCAAATCGAAACAACAAATGATGATAGGGTTTCTGCATGACCAAGAAGTGGATATATTTTAAAGAAATTCGTAGCGACGGCAGGGAACAATAGTGATGGTTTTAAATTTTTACCCATGCCTGCTCGTCCCTCTCTGAAAGTTATCCATTGATGGGAAGACCTGCTGGCAAGTGTATAAAACACAATTTTCTATAGTGGCGGATGCGAATGATGGATTCCCAACTAAGGCCTGTCATCTCGCCGCTTCGCTGAGAGCAGACGCAGCGGATATCCTGCAAGACGCTTCCTGAAAACCAAAAGACTTGACTTCGAAGCTCTATCCGGCGCATTGGAGCTGCGCTTTGGCGAGAAATGTTTAAAGACTACAGCAGACTTCAATTAAAATACCGTCAACAGAAGCCCACCGAATCACTCCAGGAACTCGCCACGGATGTTGAAAGGCTGTCCACCTCGCCTTTACGGAGTGCCCGAGAGAAACGAGGGAAATCCTGTCGCTGCAATATTTCGTCGATGGCATCCGGGACCCTGAAATACAGAAAGCACTGCGAATGGCGGATGTTAAAGATTTGAAAAAGCGCTTTAGTGTACGCCATGAAATTCGAGCAAGCCCACAAGCCAATCGTCGAGACCGCCAACCCAGTCAGAGCTGCTCAATCCAGGAGCCCAGGGGATCAAGTCACCGCTCGTCTAGACGATTTAACTAGACAACTGAACGCCTTGAGACGGAATATTGGTGAGAAGAAACCGACCGTTAATGCTGGAACTGCGGAGCTGAAGACACATACGACGAACTGCAGAATACCCCGGGTACGATGTAAGACCGCTCGTAACAAACAGCAGGGAAACTAATTAGTGGCCATCTCGTGGGGCGGAGGTTGCCAATAATGAAAAGCCCCAGTTTTAAAGCGTTCAGATTTCTGCAGTGAAGGGCGGCAGTAATTGACTTTTATAATAGTGACATATTAATGGAGTTCCTTGCAATATGCGATAGATACAGGAGCCAACGTTACCACATCCGAAAGATTTGGCTCAACAACTGGAACAAACTTATCTGGACGCCGCCCTGCGTTACCCTCCAGACTGTGTCCGGTGGGAAGATCGACATCGATGGAAAAATAAACGTTAACATCACGTTTGGAAGTGCCGCTTACCATCACACGGCATATGTAGCAGAGATCACTGATTCTTGCATACTCGGATTGGACTTTCTAAGGAAATACAATTTTTCCTTGGACTTTAAAAATAACGAATTGCGTTCTACATCTGAGGACATCCCTATTCGGAATTATGATGGAGTGAAATCTATCCACAAAATTATAGCTCAAGATGATATCACAATTCCCGCAAGAACCGAGTTTTTACTTCCTGGATCCATAGCCGAAAATAGAAATTTCCGCTACGGCATCATAGAATATCCCGATAACTGTAATAGCCCAAAAGGAGTACTATAGCCTCAACACTCGTCGACCTATCCAGAACGGTTATCCCGGTGAGAGTCGCCAATGTAACTGAGAAGGCGAGAGTTATTAAGAAAGGTGAAGTGGTTGCAACATGTACTCCAGTAACCACCGTTGAAAGAAAGAGTAACATCCAAGAATCCGTGTCTTCAGAAAGCATTACATCAGAGTTGCTTCAGAATGCGCAATTAAACGATGAAGAGAAGAATGCTGCCGATCGCGTTATTAAAGATCTTCAAGTTGTTTTTTCCCGCTCGTCTTCTGACGTGGGTCGAACTAGTTTGACACAAAACATAGAATAGATACCGGCGATCATCCCCCAATCACAAGCACATCCAAGGCGGTCTGCGTTTGCTAAACAGGAAGAGGTGCGAACACTGTTAAAAAGATATGGAAGAAAGGCGATGTCATCGAGCCTTCAACAAGTCCATGGGCATCTCCCATCGTTCTCGTCAGAAAGAAAGACGGCTCAACAAGATTTTGCGTGACTATCGCCGGTTGAATGAGGTTACGAAGAAGACAGTTACCTCTTCCTAGAATGACGACCTTCTAGACACTTTTCTGGAAGCAAGTGGTTCTCAACGCTTGATTAAAGAGTGGGTATTGGCAGGTAGAAATACACCCTCATGACCGAGAAAAGACGCATTTACTACGGGACAAGGGCTTGGCAATTCAAGGTGATGCCGTTTGGGACTGTGTAATGCGCCGGCAACATTCGACGCCTCATGGAGACTGTTTTTGAAAGGACTTTCCTATGAAGCCTGTCTGATATACCTGGACGATTCATCATCGTCGGAAATAGTTTTGAAGAGCATCTAGAAAATCTTAGAAAGGGGCTTCAGAACTGAAAGAATCAATCTAAAGCTGAGTCCCGCTAAATGCAAATTGTTCCGTAAGGAAGTACTACATGGGACATGTCATCTCTCAGAAGGTGTGCGCAAGGATCTGAAAAGGTATCAGCGGTTAAATCCTGAAACGTCCCGAAAATGTCCATCAGCTGGAAGCTCCTAGGGCTTGCACCTACTATAGGAGATTCGTGAAGGACTTTTCTTCCATCGCAAGACCCGTTCACAAGCCGACAGGGAGTAAGCAAAAGTTCTTGTGGACAAAAGAATGCGAGGATGCATTTAACAACTTAAAGGATGCTTTAACATCTACTCCAATCCTGACGTATCCTCAGCTCGACAGACCATTTATTCTCGACACGGATGCGAGCAATGAAAGTGTCGGTGCTGTTTTGTCCCAAGAAATAGACGATAAATTTCACTGAAATCTGTCCATCAGTTCTTAAGTCAATCAACCAAATGTGAACATTCTCTTAATGCAACATTCTCTTAATGTAGATTTATATATTTTTACCAATGTATAAATCTACCAAATGTAATTTTTTTTTTATTTCTTTACAAAACAACTCTGCACAAAATATAATTCTAGTTAAGTTCTTAAAGCTAGTTAAACAGTTCATAAAGATAAAATATAATTATGAATTTTCAAATTGAAAATGTATAAAATGTAGCTAAAATCAAATGCGACTTACAGTCAAGGCATAGACTAAAGACAGTCCTATATCAGAAGTCGTCAGCTCATTTATGTCGTTTAAAGAAATCAGCACTGTTGTCAATATAATGATTACACTAATGCTGTCTATGCAAACAGATAGCCATCTGAAAAAAAATAAAATATTGCGACTTATTTTGCTGAAGCCATATTTGAAAGCTTAATCATCAAACTTTCACAAAATTACCTTAATAACATTTATTCAATACTATTAAGTATTACTAACAATGTTCTAAAGATATTTCGCATTTATATTTTAATATTTACCTTGAGCACATATACCAGTGATAACTGCACGTACTATTTTCATCGACTTTATCTCCAAATATATCCATTAGCGTTTCGTCCATATCGTAAGATCGAATACTAGTAATGCCTTGAATAGACTCTTCGAAATCACTGAAAATTGGAGACCTTGACACACATTCCAAACGTTTCAGTTTTTGTGAGGCATTTAAATACAGATTCTAAAGAAAAAGAGAGAAAAAAAACATACAAACGGGAGAAAGAATACAGGCGGTTTATTCTTTAAGACAAGAAAAATAAATATGTAAAGCTGTGTCTTGTTAAATACATGAATCATAATAATTATGGTATCAGTTTTATCATAGAATAGAGAAAAGATTCACAGGTGGGGAAAGGTAACTGAAATTTGCTTCAAACCTAAAAATCATTTCGAAAACCGGCGGCCGAAAACTTATGCTAACATTTCAAAGAAAAAGATATATTATGCGAAACAGTAACATAAATAATTAACACGTAACTAAAATATTACATTAAACAATAATTAAAATTTTAATTTACATTTACAAAGACTTAAATCTGTTGTTGCATGGAATCAAGATTTCTATTTAAATTGGCCATAAATAATTAATACGTAACTAAACTATTACATTAAACAATAGTTAAAATTATAATTTACATTTATAAAGTACTAATTCAGAAGTCAAACAACAAAAATAAGCGTTATATTTTCAAAATATGAAATTCAAAATACGGAAACATGAATATATACGCTACATAAAACACTTTTGTTATTTGAATTTTATAGTTTCAACCAACGGCCGCGAAAATAATAAATTTGAAATAATAAATTAATAAATTTGAAAATATAACGCTGATTTTTGTTGTTTGATTTCTGAATTAGTATTTGTTCGGCGTGTTATTGTGTTTTAATTTATAAAGCACGTAAATTCTGTTATTGTATGGAATCAAGGTTTCTATTTAAAGAGGCCAAGTTTTGATTTTTTTTATATTAAACACAAAGCGATATTTTTAAAGGTCTTTTCTGTATTTCTTGTTCTAATTTCCGATTAACAAATTCAACTAGCACTTTTCCATTTAACAAAAGCGCGACTTAGGTTATACATAGTAGCTATATATACCGTAGCCATACATGCCCTTGTGTCGGCTTTATTTTCGCGGCCGTTGGTCGTAACTATAAAATTCAAAGTGTTTTAAGTAGCGCATATATTCATGTTTCCCCATTTTGAAATTTCAGAAATCAATTTTGTAAAAATTACCAAGAGAAATCTCTTTTCATATAATATCCCGGTCCCAATAATTTGCACATTAGTTTGAACGTAATTCTAAAAGGTAAAACTCAAAAAAAAACTACTCCCACATGACTATAACTGACCGAGATATTTAATTTCAAAATTTGGAATTTTAAAATTTTCTTCGGCTTTACTTGAGGGATGATTAAATACAAGAATAATTTGAAGGCGATTTTTTCCCTCCTAAATATAATTTAATAACATTTTTTTGCAATTTACTAGTGTATGCAGTTTCTAATTTATACTTTTGTTACATATAACTTGCGATGAAGAATTTTCGCACAAGTAATTTAAGCTTTCAAATGCTAAAAATAAGTTTTAAATATTCCCGTATAGTTTTATTACTTTAGCATCGTAACATAATAATCACATAGGAAAAATTCACTAAACTTAAAATATTTTTCCTTTTCAATTTATGAAACTGTTTTGAGTTAACTATGGGTCAATACTGAAGTCTGCCATTGTTTTCTAGGACACGAATTCTATAAAATTCCGTGAAAGCAATTCTCCTTTCTTAGGAAATAAAATACATATATACATAGAAATTATTTAACAGTTATTTAAAAAAATCACTTTAAAATTTTTAGGTTTACTTTTACTTGCATGATAACTAAAAACGGAGGGTCAAATAAAATAAAGTTGTGATGAAGAAATAAATAAAACAAAAAAAAAAAAAAAGTGTCGTTTGAGGAAAGGCAAAGTAAACACTACGTTACCAACGGAAAACGATATCTAAAAAGACACTACAGACGAGTTTATTCACAAACACATTTTTATTCCTTTTTCCCTCTTTACTTAATTACAAAAAATTTCCTTAAGTATTTCTTTAACTAACACAGGATTGGATTTTGGATTGGATTATTTAATTATGGCAAAGCACACGAGGGCTATCTGCCTAAAGGGAGGGATGCCTTCGTGGAGGGCTCTCTAAGGGAAACTGGCTCGTATACACGTTACACATGGGGAAAACCACGAAAACGCCCATGCAGCCAGCCCGTTCGCGGGATTCGAACCTCGGACCGAACTACCAGTGTTCTGCGTCTTTACCGCTCGGCCGCTGGTGCGCCTTAACTAACACAGAAAATGAATTCATTGTTGTTTAATATATTATATTAGAACAAATAAGATCCAATATCCATAAACTTGAAATTAGTTTCAACTGTTCAATTTCTCTAGCTATACATATTAAATTCTCTCAACATACTACGATTATTTTCACACACATTTAATTTTTTCTTCTTTTAATAGGCTTTAACCGCAATATCATACAATAATTAGCATAATATAGAGCATCCAGATAATAAAAATATAATCACAATATCATACATAGTTCAAAAGGTTAAGTACTTTTATTATTTCATACTCTACGATATTTCAATGCATAATCATTAATTTAAAAATAATTTAACAGTTTGGAGAATATTTACCTGAAGAAAGAAATACCCAATAATGAAGGGTATCATGAAAAGAATGAACTTCGGTATGTTTACCGTTATCACGCAGAATGTGCCTAATACTACAAAGAGGCATGCTAATACATAGTCTATCGAATAGGGCATGTCAGAGTCGATAGTATTTATATCTCTAGCAAATCTGTAATAAAAAGAAATATGAATTTTAGTTGCTTCATAACGGCTTAAGATTTATTTTCATGGTGTTATGAAAGCAGTTGTACCTGGTTATAATTTATATATATATAAGCATATAACATTAATGGAAATTTTCTTTTAAATCTTATATGGATTATGAGTATTTACATCAGTCATTTCCAGTACGAATTTATTTTTCTATTGAAAATGAATCAAGAATCAATCTGAATAAATTTTCAACATATTCGAATACATGTCGGTGTATTAATACAGTCTTATTAGTTTATATAACGTAACTTCTAATCTAGCTAAATAAATTAGAGAAATCTTACTTAATGCCATTTATGAAATTTTTAAGTTGGGATATAGTTTATAAATAATACTGTTTGATTGATATAACTAAGCATTTTCATTCAAGTTCTTTATTAAATGAAGGGGGAAATAACATTCACTTTTGTTAGAATTGTAAGGAGCTATTTCAAAAATTGTAATGAAAAATCTACACGTTATCACCTCTGTAAAACATTTAATAGGGGAAGAAACTGGATTTTAAAATTTTAAAATATTTATTATTTATCGATCTCCCACTCCTTAAAATATCGTTGAATACAGAAACATAAAACATATAATTAAATTATTTCTCCCTCTTTCAAGGATTAATTTAATACACAAAATATCTAAATCCGAAAACGTACGTGATATTTATCAAATTACGATCAGTTCAGTTAATCCTGTATTGGGACGTGTTGCAATGATGGCTTAATGAAAATGTTCTCTTTGCTTGACTATTTTTGATTTTTAGTAAAATCTTAATAGATGGAATAATAATCTAATCTGACGGAACGTTTGAGAGATAAACATTATACCATCCAGTACAGCCGGGGAAATTGAAAGACAAATGCGGTATTTGACTACAAATACTGTGGGCGTCCGTGTCATATTATCTACCCTGTTCTAGATTTGCAAAATGCCACATTTGTACACCAATTGCAAAAATGTCGCATTTAGTACCAATTGTTTTGTTCACATACTTTAACATCCCTAAAAGTTTTGTTGCAGTTTTCAGGAAGTATGATAGCTCTCTTTGTAAGCAAACACTCCAAGCCCTTTGAATTTTTACATATTTTCAGATGATAAAGCACATATGATTCAGAAAGCTCACATTTATTGCGAAACTTGTTAGGAATTACAGGTGGTAATGGGTTTTCTGAAGCATAATCAAAGATTATGGGCGTCAAACACATATTAGACGCTTACAAACAAAAGTTAAATAGGGAATTATCAGATTCCCTCGCGTATGCTATCGTGATGCAAATGGTAGAACGCCTAGCTTGCAAAATAGACTCTCTGTAGTTCGAATCCCGGTGAAGGGAAAGTTCATTTTCCAAGTTTCTTCTGCTTAGAAAAACCATATCTCTGTATAAAACTGATGCAATAAGATCTTAAAGGCTGCTTCACCAAGGCTTCCATTTCTTGGCACTCCATCCATCCACATGAATATTGATTATTCTATGTGAACTCTAAAATTCTTGGAGCAATTCTGATGATATTATAAATTTGGTAGTATTGGAAACTACGTTGCATTACAAAAATCATATCAGTGAATTAGCTGGCATTCATTTTCAAGTATAAAGTAGCAGAAGCTCACGACACCAGATAAAATTAATATGTCTTTCATATCGGTTATACGAAAGCATTATGTGAAAAAACAGTAATATTGGGTCTTTTTTTTAATACTGAATTGAAATATTCATACGCATTCCAAAATTTCAAAAATTTGCAAAGCCTACGAAATTTCAATCGACATAAAATTAGTTTACTACTCATCTTCAACATAAAAGAAGTAGGGGTGATTTTTATATTCTCCTCTATTTTGCTAGCAGGTAGTTTTCAACATACATTTAGTTTAAAAATTCAATTTTCTTTCAACTTCTAAAATAAAAAAGTGAAAATTTAACTAAATATTTCTCCCACCTTCTTATCATGCCTTCGTGGCGTAATGGTCAGCACACTCGGCGCGTATTCGAGAGGTCCGGGCGAGGGCATTGCTCATTTTTCACATCTCCTACTTTCAAAAATACCCAAAAGTCTTCACAATTTTAAAACAATTTCCCCCCCCTTCATTTTCTTGAGTTGAGACATAGTTAATATGCATAACAAATTGAGTTAATAATTTTAACTCTGTTTAAGAGTTTTGAAATTGAAAGATATAATTATACAAATAATCTTCAGGTTATTATTAGCATAATTAGAAACTATGTTATTTAATGATAAATAACCTACTCTTTTGGACTTTCATTTTATTCTGGAAATATGGAATATAGAATATTAAAATTCATTATAAAAATATATGAATAGAAATATGGAATATAAAATAATACTACTGCAAAATTATCCTAATATCTCTCTATCCTCCATATCATTAATTTAGAAACAGTCTGATTTGTGTTCATTTCATATATAGTCAGAAATGACTAATACACAATTATTCACAACTGAATCAAATGATACTATAAAACTGATAATTTTTCATTGCTTCTCAAGTTTAAAACATGTATTTTCAAAATAAAATAGTACATCGGATTACACTGTGTGAAAATTTCCAATACAAAGCAGGAAAGAAATTTCTTGTTCACTTAACTTTCCATTGAATGTGTTAAGCATTAACAGATTAGAAAGGAAAATATTCCTACCTATTTATTAATCGTCCATGAGGAGTAGTATCAAAGAAACTCATGGGAGCCTTGATGACACTATCGATTAAACTTCTGTGAAATATCCTTGAAGCTCTGGTGCAGGTTACGGCGAGAAGAGAATTTCCAATTATGACACAAATACCTGCGACATAAAAATTATAAAATAATCAAGTTATTAACTCATTTACTTCGCACTGCACAACAGACTTTCTAAAAGTAATCAATAAACCTTTAACTAAAATTAGATACTTACATTTTTACCTCCTGCCAACCCATATACATAAGGAATGGAGGTAATGTTTTCTGTCCAGAATTTTCATAGTGAGTTTTCAGTGAATTAGCCCTAATCAGGGTTTTCACAACACGTTTTTGCCATTTTTAGAACCATGTCCGTCTCATTGTAACAATTTTTTCGTCCACGATAACTCTTACATGAAACTTCCAAAACTTTCCATTTTCCGCATTTACGCTTCTTGAATTACCATAAATTGATTAGATTTTGGGTAAAATTGGACAACTGAAAGTGGTACTTTATATATAGCTCCTTAACAGTTTTTAATGGACAATCGGAAGTGGTATTTTACTTGAAGCCCATAACATTTCTTAATGAAAAACGATATTAAAGTATAATTCAAAACTTCCCAGTTTTACATTTAAAGGCTTTTATATTGATGAGAACAACATCTTAGGTATTGGCTTAAAATGATAAACTTGAAATACTTTAATTGAAGCTAGTGCTAGGAAGGAAAGACAGGCAACGGAAGCTGGGGACGCCAGTGCTTTGACATCATCTTTGAAGATTAGATTATTAGACAGGTATAGTCTCACGCTTCCTGTCTTACAAGTTCCTGGCACTAGGTTTGATTGTGTTATTGTAACTTTGAGCTAATCAGATCTTCATAAAATTAGGGCTATTTGCTGAGTTTAAGTTTAAAGTCTATGAGCAACACAGAATAAGTATTTAGTTGAGGTTCAAGTCTATGTTCGTAATCTATATTTCAATGCATACAGTTAAGTTAGTTTGCGACGATAATTCATTCGGGCAACATGATGATAGCCGGAGTTACGAAGCTAAGTTAGGCCAAACTCTATAAACCTGTAAATTAACATTTACTTATGCGTAATGGAAATAAGATGATTAAAAGTTGTAATGAAATTATTCATATACCAAAAATTGTAAAATATCGTATAAAGAAATATTTTAAAAAAATGCAATAATTCAAGTATAAAAATTTTTTAAAAAGAAAGAAGCGCGAGTTTGAGGAAAACATTTTCTCATTTAACCAAAACTAACTACTTACAACACATGTTAATTTTATTTTAAAGATTTATGATGTACTAATAATTTAATATAAATACTGTAAGAGATTACTTCTGTATTGATTCAGTTTGTACTTCCAGATTGCAGATTACATTGTAAGAAAACTCTTAATGACTAAGACAAGACTATTTTCATTTTTCAGAATTTCACTAACATTTATTCTGCAACACGCATCAAGAAATTTTTATTTACGTAACTATTTGAAAGCATATAACTTTTCCCCCCGTTTTCCTGCGCATTGGCAGAAAGGAAGTACACAAATATTTCTTCAAATGGTACAAATAAGAAAATCTACTTAATGAATGAAACTTTGTCTAGACAAGGAGCTTCCGCAGCAAAGTTTAATCTTACGTTCCGGCGATATTTTCATTTCGGCTATATACAATATCACATCCCACTCAAGAGTCAAGGATAAAAATTCCCTCTAATTTTTCCAGAATTCAACTATATTTCCAGAACCACATTTTACGATAAGCCTGTTTCAAATGAGATGTTAGTTATTCGCGCTTATGAATTCATCCCCTTCAAAAGGCATTTAATTTATTAAATGTTAATTAAACAATACCAGCCTAAAATTGGATGCCTTCATGAAGGGTTCTAAAAATTAACTGATATTAACATTAAGCTTGGATAAAACGTCTAAAATAACTATGCCCATCTAGCTGCAAGAAATCAAATGAAAAAGAAAATTTCAGTGTTCCTAAACTTAAGTCACATGGCCAGTAATGAGAAATCGCAGCCCCCTCCCCTTCCTTAAAAAAAAAAGAGAGTACAAGAATGTTTATTTGTTAAAATGTTTCTTATACAGCCGAATGTTGGCTATAAATTTTGCAGAACGTAGTGCAAGAATATTTGAAAAGATTACATTAACATGAATTTCTTTCGATTTTTCCCAAGTAAGATTTAACTTTAGGACATAAAAAAATGTCACATGGAGCCAAATCAGGCGAATAAGGAGGATGCCCCATCACAGTAATGTTTTTGCTGGTTAGAAACTGCTTGACAGAGCCGTGTGAGCGGGTGCATTGTCCTCGTGCAACATGTATCCATCACTCCACAACTGTGGCCTTTTTTCTCCTAATTTTTTCTCGAAGTCAGTGTAGTAGTCAGTGTAATTAAAGTACTTTAGTGTAGTAGTACTAATTAACAGTCTGACCACTGGGAACCCACTGAATCATGATGAACGTGCATGGGCGCCCAGCATGTTCATCATCTTCTACATTATCCCTTCCTCCTCAGAAAACCGCTTATGCCATTTAAACCTACGTGTACGAGACAATGTTTCATCTCCACAAGCCTCGGTTAACATTTGAAATGTTTCCTCCGTGTCTGATTTCTTAAGTTTCACAACAAACTTGACGATTGGCTATTCGGTTTTTGCATTAGATATTTTTCCCGCAGAATGCAGTTGCACGTCTTCACTCAATGACACAGTACTCCCCACTGGCCTAGTCGGTTAAGTCGAAACTGGCTGCAGGGATAGAGGAGGCGTGTGGCATGACGTCACCAAAACAGTTGTTGCCAACTCCTATCTGTTTTCAAGCTACATACTTAGTCTTTTTTTGTGTGTGTCACACCTCGTAAGTGTACGGCTTCATTTTTTTCGCGTAAGAATTATGTGTATTGATAGCTACGTCTTAAAACAGAATCCGAACCATGAAATCTCCTGTACCTTAAGAGAAAGAATTCATGTTTGATGAATGGAAGATTTGATAGCTAATCATTTATATGATTAACTTGATCATTTTATCATTTTGTTACATTTTACTAAAGTACAAAATATGACTATGTTCAGCAACAAATGAATGTTGCGATACATAGGCAATCAACAAATAATTTAATATAGTACCTATTCATTCCATACAGTAATTTAAAATTCTGCTATTCCCAACGCATTTTCCCGTACCATATGTCTGAGATCTAATCGAAATTAAAAATAAAGAAGATTAAAAATTTAAAAAAAGCAACTCAAATGCATAAAAAAATCACATACGAATATGAACCATATTTGAAATGGATATTTAAATTAACCAAATTTAAAAAAAAATTTATTTGGTTAAGTCAAAACTTAAATCTGTTAGTAACAGACTTCATTAAAATCTCACTAAGCTAAATTTAATTATGCTATAGAAAGAATTATTTATTTCAACAATTCGCCATTAATCTTAAGAGTATGTATAAAAGAGGAATTCTTTCCATGAAAAATTTTAGAAGATTTTACTCTTATTATAATGTCTAGAAAGGTAAAATCATTTCTTTAAAAATCACCGCCTAAAGCAGTTTCACATACATAAGGGAAGACTGAAATCTTGTTTAAAGTCTTGGGTATGTATGTTCATTTTATGAATACTATTACTCATTGCACGTAATGACTTTGATACATGAAATAATATTTAATTATTGAACCGATTTTCCAGAAGAAATAACGAAACATTTTATCAGTTTAATACCAAAAGGAACAACAGTATGTTTAGGTAGCTCTGGAAAAATTACTTTAAAATCAATTAAAATTATAACAAACCTCTAAACTTATTCATGTCTCTAAACGTATTCAACGACTGGTCGTATGCACTTACCCTGGACTATTCCGAAGCTCATGTACCGTAGGATGTCATCATGTGAAATGGAATTATTCAAACGATCTTGTCCTAAATCTGTATAGTTTATGACGGAAGAGTTGAGTGAAATAATATCTTCACTAGACCAGCTAGTTAAAGCGTACTTTGCAGCTATCTAGAAAGTGAATAAAAAAAAACAAGTCAATAATTGTAGTCATGGATTTTGTATACAATATTCCTAAATTGTATTTCACTAAACAACTGAAATTAATTAAATTTACCACTGTGTGTGAGAGCTATCTGGTTGTGAGGAAAAGTTTCGTGAACAGCTTTACAACGAAAACCAAGCAACCAGTTTTTGTTTCCTTCCGGAAGAGAACCAGTACAATAGTAGTAATTGGCGAAATTATGGGGATCAATCATTTTCCTTCTCTAATTTTTACCTAGCTTATATTCACTTTTTCGGACGTTTATACTCTGTTAAAAAAATATAAGTTCATAATTTTTTTTCCCCAAGTACATTTTTATCTTAAAAAAGGTTATCTAAAATGCTAATCACAATTTTAAACAACACAAACTACTTCTAAGACTATTCACAAACAAGGACTACCTTGTTTGTTAAACATGATACACAAACTACCTTGTTACCTACGACCCTAATTCCAATCCATTTTTGTCTTCAGCCTGGTTCATTTGCGCTTCTGCAGCTGAGGATGATGGTTCGGTAAAACATCAAAACTACTCCTGTGGAAATTTGGAAATATAAGGCTGATTTTTGTTGTTTGACTTCTAAATTAAGGACTACCTGCCTAAGGGCAGAGATGCCTTAGTGAAGATCTTTCCCATGCAGCCCCGACTGGAAACCGAGTGGAACAATCACCATTCAGCTACTAGTGGGGCGAAGTACTAACAAGAGCCCACAAAACATCCATTTATACACATTTGCAATAAATTTGTATTTTCTTATGAGAAAGTTATGTAAATACGATGAAATTTGAATGCTACATAAAAGCAGGCGAGTCCGCGTATTTGACTTAACATCTTGATATTTGGCAATTTTGACCGTCAAAATATTCTTTAATGATTTTACACTGAAGTGACAAAAGTCATGGGATAGCAATATGCAAATATACAGATGGCAGTAGTATCTCGTAGAAAATGTATAAATGCGAAGTGCTTTGGCAGGGCTTTCATTTGTGTTCAAGTTATTCATGTGAAGAGGCTTTGACGTGATTATGGCCGCACGACGAGAATTAACAGACTTTGAAAGCGGAATGGTTAGTTGGAGCTAGACGCATGGGTCATTCCATTTCGGATATCGTTAGAGAATTCACATTCCGAGATCCCACGTGTCAAGGGTGTGCCGAGATCTAATTTCAGGCATAACATCCCACCATGAACAGCGCAGTGGCCGACCACCTGCACTTAACGACCGAGACCAGCGACGTCTGCGTAGAGTTGTCAATGTTCACAGACAAGCAACACTGCGTCAATAACCCAGAAATCAATGTGGGACGTACGAGGAACGTGTCGATAGGACAGTGTGGCGAAATTTGTCTTCCTTGGGCTATGCCAGCAGAACCGACTCGAGTGCCTTTACTGACAGCACGACATCACCTGCAGCGACTCTCGTGGGCTCGTGAGATATCGGTTGGTCCCTAAACGAATGGAAAACCGTGGCTTGGTCGATGAGTCACGATTTCAGTTGTAAGAGCTGATGGTAGGTTCGAGTGTGGCGCAACCCACGAAGCCATGGACCCCAAGTTGTCAACAATGCACTGTCAAGCTGGTGGTTGTTCCATAATGGTCTGGGCTGTTTTTACATGGCATGGACTCTGTCCTCTGGTGCAATTGAACCGATCATTGACTGGAAATGGATACCTCCAGCTACTTGGAGGTCACTTACAGCCATTCATTGACTTCACGTACTCAAACAACGATGGGATTTTTATGGATGACAATGCGCCATGTCACCAGGCCACAATTTCGCGATTGGTTAGAAGAACATTCTAGACAATTCCACCCGACATGAATCCCATCGAACATTTATGGGACATCATCGAGAGGTCAGTTCGTGCCCAAAACCCTGCACTGTCAACACTTTCACAAATATGGACGTCTATAGAGGCAGCATGGCTCAATATTCCTGCAGGGGACTTCCAACGACTTGTTGAGTCCATGCCACGTCGAGTTGCTGCACTTCGCCGGGCAAAAGGAGGACCGACAAAATATTAGGAGGTATCCCATGACTTTTGTCACTTCAGTGTATTAGACAGTTATTTAATAAAGCAAAACCCATTTCATATTTTACCAAAATCAAAATATTGTCGAAAAACTACTTTAGAAATACGTAATTTTAAGATACTCGAAATGTTTTTTTAAATTTCTAATTTCTTCGATTTTCCTATTCAACTTTAAATTAAAAAGAGCCAAATAAATATATTCAGCTTTCATGAATTAGAAAAAAGCAAATATATAGTATTTTTTAATTTCTTCCATATACGTAAAGCTAAAAAATTTTTTACTTTAAAAAATGTATTCTGTTAAATCAGACTTTTTATGTTATAATGCCGATTTACTAAAGTCTAATTCCTTTTTGTTCAGAAAATTGAGTAACATAATTTAACTCAGCATAGGTCCTTTCTCCAAAGAGAATGCCTGATTTAAACCATAAAAGCAAAAATTTTTAATTAAGAAAATACGCAATTCATAACAGAGTTGAATTATTTAAAAGTTTACTCATCGAAATAATAAAAGCTGATAAGAACGCCGATAATTAATTTATCTCTAAAGAAGAAAACACTAGACTGAAATCATTGCAATTATTTAGAATAGGTAATTAAACTTGCGTTAAAATATATTATTTACATTCATAGTCATCTGTCAAAGCTATTGTTAATTGTTGGAAATATATCAAAGTATATTTTTATCCTAAATTACATAGAACAAAATTTCATGAAAAACTTACTTCAAAGCCTTGATATGCACCATAGAAAATTACAGCTAGGAGAAATAAATAAACAGTGCACTTCCTCACATAATTAAGGTACACAGCTAATTTCACCTATATAACAGAAAAATAGAAAAGAAGAAATTAATATATACGCTAAGTTAAATGCATCTTAAAACCAAAGGCAAACATATAATTTAAAAAAATTCTTAAAGTATTATGTGTGTGTGTGTGTTTGTGATGAATTAGAAATTGATGTAAAGAAGCGGAGAAGTTGACGTCGCAAAGAAGCGGACAGCATGACTCGCGGAGAGACAGAGCTTGGCGCACAAAAGATGTAGCCGATGTAAACCATTTTATTATTGATAAACACATTTTTATTATGAATTATATATTGTGATGGGTGCCATTTGATCACAGTTTTGTCTATTTTGCTTCTGATGACAATACGATGGACAAAAGACGGAGGTACGCGGCGACATATTCACAGGGCAAGCAACTGCAGAAAGACGAAAGCCGGACTTTATGTAATTTGAGATCCACTTCCGAAATTTCCCATTGGCTGTTAGAGTTTCCATTTACAAAATTATCTGAGTTATTAGAGCTATGTAAAAATCACATGGCATGAGATTAAATTTAGAATGGCGCACTTAACAGCAATTCATTATACGCAGGTACTACAATGGCTACATTATACGCAGGTACTACAATTCATTATACGCAGGCACAATAAAATGGAGTGTTATGGGAATATTGTAAATAGAATTCTACTTTATACGCCGATATCACAGCATATGTATAACGCTGTGCCACCTCTAAGACATGAGGGCAATGAGAAGTTGCTTTAAACAACATGTCAATTACAATCAAACAGTTTTTCATCTTCCAAATCCTATCAATCATTATTTAGGAATTTTTTCCATTTTCCAGAAGAAATAACATGGCTTAAAAAACTGTAATGTGAAACAGAGCGAACTCATTAGTTTGAACAAGATCTATTAGACTCAGGAAATTTATTGCACTCGATCATATTGAAGTTTACATGTCTAGAATGTCAGGCGTGATCCAAAAAATTTCTGTTTAGAAACTTGTGTTGCATTTATTTGACTAAGAAATATATTATATTACTGTAGTTACAAAAATTTTACAGAGCAATGCACTACTGTTTACCAAGGCATAGAATATAGCATACGTTTTCTCAATAAAATTTTTTTCTTGGCTGTGGAGTCATCGTAGGACCACTTTTCTCATATATTTATCTTTGACAAATCGTTTTCTCCCTTGATATTTCTTTAGTTACCAGTACATGTAGAAGTCACAAGGCGGAAGATCTAAACTAACACGCAGAGTGCTGCCAAATCTCCCACGTAGACTTTTGAAGCAAAGACTTTGCTGTGCATTCTTGTGTGGCATTGCATTATCACCTTTCGTTTTCACAGCCTATTGCCAATGCCACATATTTGGCAATAGGAATCGGAATTTATGGTTGAATGATATATTCAGTAAAAACAAGAATATATTAAAAAAAAAAAAAAACAGTGGTCATGATCTTTAATGTTGATGGCACAATTTTCAATTTTTTGTTTTCAAATAGGCGATAATATGCATCTCCATACCGAAGACTTTATTTGAAGGTTTAAATGGTGCAGCCATATTATACTTCTTTTATTGATAAGGCTTAGGAAATAACTACCTTCTACAGAACAGCGTTGGGAAATACACTGACTAACAATAAGTATTTGGACACCTGTGATAGAAAAGAAAAACTAACTTTATTCAAAATCAATAGTTGGTAGAGCCTCCACGAGAGGTAATTACAGCGGGACCTCGGGCATACTTTCCACAGTCTTGTATGACAGCTAGTGTATCTTCTTCCACTCGGCTTTGGAGAGCTAAAGTTCATTACCGATTTTCACGGGTATACACCCTGAATTCTGCATGCAATCGTCCAGGTTCTCGATAGGTTCAGGTCTGGATCTGGCAGGCCAGTCCACGATGAACTCCATTCGCACCGTACCAAGCTTGTTACGTCTAAACATGACACGGCATTGTCGTCCGAAGTACAGAGATCCAACCCGTAAACTGCCACAACGTAGGAACACTTGTCATCCAAATAGTGCAGTAGCATCAATTTGACTTACTATGATGGGGACCAAGGATCCCAGCCCTACCAGGAGAACCCCCAGACCATCTTCCCCTCGCGAACTTGACTGTGGCGCAATGCATTCTGGCAGAGAACGTTTTCCCGGTAGAAGGCAACCCATACCCTGCATCCGAACGGAAGGGGTCAACCTTATTCGCTCAAAGATCCCATTTCCAACTGATCACGTCCAATTCGATGTCTTTGCATCACATTACCGAGCAGCGCGGTTGAACTTGTGATCAAGGCTTATGGGCAGCAGCACGACCATGAAAACCAGCGATGTGCTTCCTTACGGATGGTATTCATGAAACAATACTTCGGATGCTGTTGAACTCCTCGCGGATGGGCCTCGGTTGGTGCGTTTTTTTCCGAATTTTCTGGACCGCACTCGCGTCTCTATCTCCCTTTTCGTTGGTCTGCCGACTCGGGTCACATTCCGACATCACGCTCACCTCCACTCTTAATCACATAGAACAAATTTTTTTGGTGTACTTCAATCGCTAGATATGTCCTAAGGATCGGCACATTTGTGATACCCGAAATACCCTTTCTCGAAATCAGAGAGCTCCGAACTACAGGATCTGCATGCGACTAAAGCCGATGCTGTTTCCTACACGATATATACCGGCGGAGTCCGTGACGTACCTTAGGACCGCAGATATCGTCATTTGCATAGGTGTCCAAATACTTATTGGTAGTCAGTAGAAGACGAAAACTTTACTGCTTCATGTTCGGGTGTCAATGAAGGAGGGACCCACGAGAAACATAGCCTTAATAAACATAGACTCAAAACCTGAAATAAGCTCTGCCTGCTGTGATCCCAACTTCTACACAACATTGTGCAATACAGTATCTTCTCTAAAGATACCAATAGCTTCTCTTGCCGACCAGAATCAGTCACATGTGTGCGGTTGTATTCGAATTGCTGTATCTTTAGACTACGACATTACAGTTACCTCACATAAACATAGTGAATTCTTGATAAATTTCTGTACAATTAAAACATTTTACCGATGAAAATAGTACTGTTCTTTATACTTCACTCTCGGAGCAAGCTTCCGTATAAAGCGCCATTGTACTCATGCTGCTACTAAAAAGAAATTATCTCCGTGAAAAGGAGTAGATCATGAATTCCTTTGCTGAACATTCTTCCCTTTTGAGCAGCTCTGCGAGATTTATTTATCTTTTGAACTGTTTACGAATACATTTGCATTTAATAAGTAAAATAATGTATCGCTACCTTTTAAATTTAAGCTAGATGAATAATGATGTCTATTTTTTAATGAACAGAATACAAAATAAAGTTCTAAAGAACAAGCACTACATAAATCTTAAAAGTGTGAGCTCTCAGCAATATACATACAATAATAGAGAAATTTCGCGTGTTATTGTCATTAGAAAGCTAAAAGCAATACATATGAACTTACTTGATTACTTTCCATTTCTTCGTCTTCAATTAATCTACTTTGTAACTGATTTAACTGGCAAGATCCATTCAATCTTCCATCCTCTACTATGCCATTTTGAGTGATTTCTTGAGATCTTAAAAGAATGGAACCAAGAAAGAAACTATAACTGAAAATAGTACTTAAAAAAATCTGAAAGCTTTCAGATTTTACATTACGCCCAAAGGGGCGTTTTTTTAACGTTTTGTGTGCTACTTATTTTTAAATACATTCTTCGCACTTACGCTATAAATTCAGTTCACATCAATATCGCAAAATAATTTTTAAATGACATTTCTTACAATTACCGATACACAGTTTTTACAACCCGAAACACCCACCACACACGCTGGAGAGAAAAATGTTTTCATGTGATAAATACGTTCTATAACATCAAAATTTGATGGCCTCTAGGCCAATCACACCTCATCTGTGTTACAAATCACAATGCAAGAAATATACGTACATTTACGTAGATTCTTCATTATTTAATTTCTTTAAATATAACACAGAGCTGTAATAGCTGGTGGTAAGAGTTTGAAAAGTGAATCGACGCAAAATGTCAAAACAAAATTACAAGCCCATTGGGCTAACATTTTCATACTTTGTTCTTCAACAAAATTCTTAAACATTTCAATCAGTCATCATAGCTAGTGAAAGTTACTCCATCTTGTAAATGCATAAACATTTATAATACATCATTTTTCATTTTTTTTTCATTTTATAATACATTAGTTTTGAGAAAATATACGTTATCTTAATTACCTGATAACTACAAAAACAGTTTCTAAGTAAATATTTTTAATCTCTAATTAATTTTCAAGTAAAGGCATTTTAGCCGAATTTATGTTTTTAGTTATTTAGGTTTATAAATATTATCCCATCGACAAGCAGAGAGATTTATCATCATTTGTGGATAAGTGGGATGTAACTACACACTCATAATATTTGCTGTTTCATTTGATGTAATTCCGATAGGCTCTCGATAAGTTACTTTATTTTTATGAATAAGGATACCAGTTAACTGTTACTGTTATTTTTTGGTTATCTTTTGTAAAACAAATGCTTAAAATTTGGAACTGTCTCCTACAGAACAGCAAGCAGTTAATTATTTTCAAAGTTATGCCCATCCTACCATCAAACAGCGCGAGTAGTGATCAACACGATATGAAGCTGAATATGAGCGACAAAGAGTAATCATAGCGCTGACAGTATCTCCGTTAACTCTATGACTACAATCTCTTTCACATGTTGATCTTAGCCAACTTTTACGGCGGTCGACGAGATAATACGTTAAGTACCGATATTTGGAAATGGTTTGAGTATGGCTTAGGTGCAATCGAAAGTGGGAGGACTTCCTAAAGAGAAACTGGACTGCATTTACACTGAAGTGCCACGGAATTAAGCATACCTACACAGTAACGTGTTGGCCTCCTCTGGCCTTGATAACGACTGCCACACGACGAGGCACAGATTCAACAAGTTTCTGGAAACGTTCCACGGGAATGGCTTGCCAAATATTGGCTAGAGCTGGCCATAATTTAGTAAGGTTCGCTGGTGCTGTGTGATGGCCTTTCACGCCTTGTTCCTGAACATCCCAAAGATGCTCAATAGGATTTAAGTCTGGGCTTCTAGGTGGCCGATTTATGACAGAGAAGTCAGAGGAATGCTCATTCAACCAGCCAGTAGCCAACCGGGACTTGTAAGAGGTACAGTTGTCTTGCTGGAAAACTATTACGGTGCGGATAACAGAACAGCATAAACGGATGGAGGTGATCACCCAGAAACTGAGCAGTCAATGTGGTTTATTTCAGTTTTTCAGTAATCGTATCGATTCTTTTTAAATGAATTTACTTACGTTTTGCATGATATAATTCATTAATTTCCTATTTTTCATAAATATTTTTATTACAAGTATTGGATAATTTCATAAAGAAATCTCATCTTCATATCAGTGATGACAATTCTACTGCTAGCACTAGTAGAATAATGCAGAAGAGAGAAAAACTGAAATCATTTCGAAATGTCAGTCACTTGTAACGAAGAATACTTAAATTCGGACTCACCTAGATCCCAGAAATGCATACTGTCCAGCTCCTGTCTGCGTTTTATGCGGAAAAAATACTTTCACATAGAGCGATCGTATCCTCTAAATTAAAACGCAGTTTTTCAATCGAACGTAAAAGCTTTCAGAAAAAAATAAAGAAAGCTTCAAAAGGCTTTTGGAAACGCAAGGTAAACTAGGAAGACAACTTGAAAACCAATGAAAGTAAATGATAAAATTCAGCTTGCGTCCTATAAAATTTCAGAATTAGTAGCGTTAAAGCTACAGCCACAAACCATAGCATAATTTCTCATTTTCCCCGCTTACTGTGAAATAGTAACAATTATGCTTGAGGACGAAGCAAAGAAGGAAATTTTGAAGATTTCGGTATCTGTTTCCACAGAATTTATGACATGTCCTGTGAAACTGAAAGAGCAGTGGCAGGTGATCTTGTTACCTGCTCGCATTACAAGTAAGCGAATCAGCTGATATAAGCGGGAAGTCTCTTACACTTACACTTTGTATTATTTACTAATGAACAGAAGATATTAAATCAAATTTTATGCTGCAAACACCTTTTGTGAAATACAACTAGCTAAGGACGTATCTGATACGAAAACGTCGTATTTGAATACTTCAAAATTTTCATGGGATCAATGTATAGGTATTTATTTATACCGACGAAACAACATATTTGATGGCATCAGTCAAAAGATGTGCGACTTAAGCGAAAACATTCAATCCAAGTATAATATTTCATGACTGTTTCTAGCACCGAGAGGTACTTCTCATTAAAGAAATCAAGCAAAGTATCGGATCAAGTAGTTTCCGTGGTTAATTTTACTAAAATGAGATAGAAGACCACTAGATGAACAGCTGGTTTCGCCCTCAAGTCTGTCAGCTGAAGTGCTCAATTGGTGAAGCCATCTACTATTTGCTACATCCAGCCAGGGAAGTGGCCAGGTGATTAACGACATTAAAAAAAATTTTTCAAATATATACAGGGTACTGAATTGTACAGAGCTGTTGGTTGTTGCAAAGATTTTACAATGTTTTTGATATATCAAATATGTGTTGCAATATGATGAATAGATAAAATTATATATTATTGATGTTGTATATTATAAGGATGATACAGAAAATATTTACATACACAAATTACATATTTAAATATATTACAGAAAATAATAGTAGTAATAATAGAGAATATTACTAGATGAATGAATAATTTGGATAGAAAAGGAAAAGATTTATAATAGTGAGGAAAATAAGAAGAGAGAAGAAAGGAAGACACGAGGAAAGATTATTAATAGTTCTCATAATTGCGAAATTTGGTACTTACAGAAAATCCCGTCGACCACAAGAGACGGCAAAAATCGCTCCAAACAAAACAAAACAAAAAAACATTTACTAAATGCTAAAATAAAACGTTATATTCTTATTTTTCTTTCAAATTTATGGCTTTGATAAAAGGCTGTGCACGCAAACTTCTCTCAGGTAATTATTCCAATTTATAACAGTCTTGTCACTTAACTCTAATTCCTCTTTTACCCATTCAATAGCCGTCAATTCTCTGCGCCAACTAGAAATGAATCGGAGTGCAGTCAAAAATGAAATGGTAGAACCCTCGAACCACGTTCCCTTAAGAACTGACACACGGCTTCGCACAAGCCTTAACGTTGCAACGCCATTGCTTCAGTTTTTAAACAAAGCGCCATTTCGCAGCCATTAACACTTTTTTTTTTTTTTTTTTAAGATTCCATAACTTTGGAAATATTCAA